AAAATCCAATTTTTATCCCAAACCTTGATTATTCTAAAAGAGCTACTTCTTCCAATATGGGAAGATGTAAAACACTTCTAAGCTGAACAAAATTAATATCTTTTTTAAGTTTACACTCATTGAATTAATATTCGCAAATTTTTATTGTAGAAGAGCTTAGACTAAGGTATATTTCTCAAAAAAGAAAAAAAAGTTCATGTCAATTTACTGTGAAAGTGAAAGAGCAAACCGCATTACATATCCAACGAGCCGAAATTACCAAGAATTCCCAAGACATCAACGTGGTCCCTGCAAACACCGCGACTACTCCTTTCACCCATGATATATGTATTCCACGCGGACAAAGAGTAATCCAAAATTAACCACTATCCATACAAAAAATACAGTCCATATAATCTTTCCCTGCATGATACTTGAGTAGTCCATGGATTACATAAATGAAACTACTACAAATTTTATTGCATGGAATACCTACAGTGGATTATATTATAAAGTATATTTGAAAAATGACAATCGGACATAATTTTTATTTTCTAATATAAGTCGCTTGGGTCGAAAATTTATCATATAAACTTAAAATAATATTTTGTTGCCAATAAACATATAAATTTGTGTATCTAAATTTGCGCACTGGTTCTAAAGGGTAATTTTTAAAACCTATAGAAAAGTTTAAAAAAAACCCATAAAACTCAGAAAAATTCATGAAATCTTTATTTGAATCGATAGTACGGTCCATATAATTATATATAAATGTTGACAGTGACTGCAACTCAAATTATCAATCCGCTTAGTCCAATTTAGGCATTCTCTTTCTTTGCTTTAATGTTGTCCTCCAATGCGTCAATTGAAGCGGGATTGTTTGTATAGACATTAGATTCAACATAGACCCACAAAAAGTAGTTTAAAGGCGTTAAATCGCACGATCTAGGCGGCCAATTGACCGGTCCCGAACGTATAATCTCTCAATAAGTCCATTGTTACGCGTGCTGTGTGGCACGTGGCCCCGTCTTCTTGAAAAAACATGTCATGCAAGTGAAGCTCTTGGAGAAAAAGTTTGATATCATCTCACGGTAGCGCTCATCATTCACAGTTACGTGACGATTTGGTTAAATTATAAACCAAAGTGACGATGTTTGGCAGTGATATACAACACGAAACGTGCGTCCGCTGTTTAAACCAGTGTTGCCAAACTGATAATAGCTAAAAAATAAACCAAATTCTTTTTCACACATTTTCACGGACTAGTGTTTGGATTAATCAACTGGACCATATAGTTAAAATTTTTTTTAGGGGTATATATAAATATCTATGTATATGTTCAAAAGTACATTTAATACGATATGGGTAAGTGAAGCGTCCCTTTTGGTAGTTTTTTTCCATTAACAAACCGGAGCTTATATTTAATAAAAAAATTGCTGAAAATTGTTTAGCTTACTTGTAAGTTTCTGCTTTTATCGCTTATTTTTTTATGTATTCGGCTTCTTATACAAAATGGTTTACGACAACAATCCTTCATACTCACATGTGTTCGCATAGAGATAAGGTAAAGCGTTATTTGTCAGACTCGTTTTACAGCTTTGAAACAAAGCGTCCAAGAAATTGTTTGATATGGAAGTATAACAGCGCAAATTTAACTGAATTATTTTGAAGAAACTAAATATGTAAAAAGTAAGATTAAATATATTGAATTGAATCGTATATTATTGATAAAAATTTCGCTGTTAGCCAGGCATTTTATTTGGTATGTCTCACGGCCTACTGGGGTTCATCTTTTAACGTTTGATGGCTTCCAAACAGATTTTTGTTGGCTACCCAGATGAATCACATGTAAAAGAATAACTTCTGCACTATCCCTATCTGAATGACAGAGTGAGGTAAGATAATATACGAGGAGATAAACAAAAGTTGGGTAAGTTGACCAGAAAAAAACAAAAAATTGTTTTCGCCCTTACTTGTAATATTTGCCCTTTTTACCTTCTCTGAATGCATTTCTTAAGCCTATAGATTAATTTATAAAAGCAGTCTTCAAAATCTTTCGTTTTAAGCTTATCAATTCAGCATCAACCGCATAAATTACCTTCTCGTTACTATTAAAGACATTTCCTTATTTTTTTTTCATAATTAGAAATAAGCAAAAATCACGAGATGCTATATACGGGGAATATAGTGCTGGACGTATTTCTTTGATCCCAGAGATCGTAATAAAATTACTCGATATTTCAGCAGTGTGGGTTGGCGCGTTATCATGTTGCAAAAGTAGACTAAATACCGTGGGCTGCTTCGTCACCAGAAACTATTTTACTAAGGTTGCTAAGCTTACCATTTTCGAGTTGAGCAAAATTCACTCGAGCCTCTTTTTGGGTCTCATTCAATATTCGTGGTACCCATAGAGCAGATTTCTTCGTGTCGTGTGTTCCAGATGATTACTTAATATTCGCGATACAACCATGGCATTTAAGCCCAATTCTTTAGCAATAGTTACTTGCGCCAATCGTGGACCTTCGTCAATTTTGGACTTTATTATAGTTACGGTGATTTTGGTGGACCTTCTCAGGATTTTTCCTCTACAGTAAAATGGCCGTATTTCAACGAATCGTTCTAAATTTTGAAGGGAATACTAATAAGGTAACTGCAAAGGATATGATATTTTTAGATTTAACAAAAACAAAACAACCCAGGCACTCACGCAACCGCAAGAAAAATATCAGAGAGCTCACAAACGTATACAGCGATTTAACGCACTCTGAGTTTTTGATAGTTTTTTTTATAGGCAACTTGTCAGTTTTCGATCGAAATAATTTTATATCAAATTAGAAAATAAACTAACAACATACCACTGATCGCGGTGCATATCTTCCTTACAAATCTAAAATATATAGTATAATATATCTATCTATTTACCGTAAATCTTTCACGGCGTACGAGATGTGACAATTAATAATGAGACTGATTCCATAAAAACCGCTTACTTCAAAAATATTCTACAACTCTGCCACCCCTTCAAAGTAGTCCCGTTCGGCAGCTATTCAACAATTCCAGCGCGTTTTCCATGCTTTTTAACATTTCTGGAACGCTTCCACTGGGATGTCCGCGAGTACCCTCGTCACGGCCGCCTTGATGTGCTCAATTGACTCAAAATGGGTTCCTTTGACAACCCTTTTTGTTCTAGGGAACAAAATGAAGCCACAGGCTGACATATCAGATGAATAAGGCGGTTGTTGCAACACGCCGATCCCTTTAGAGGCCAACTGCCCCGTTAATTCGTTTTCGCAAATCTTTCCAGTACTTGGCGATAGTAGATTTACGGTGGAAGAAATTCTTTGTGCCCGATTTGGTGAAAAACTTTATCGCGATGCGTTGCTCTTGATTTCGTTTTTCCATTTTCGTGACGAGCACCACGAACAACACGTTTACTCAACACGACACAGCAGGCGAACTAAACAAGCTAGAACGATGGGAGATGGGAAAAGGAATTTCAAGGTCGCGGGGTTACTACAATCGCGGCACTATAATTTTTGTTATTTAGAAAAGCAGCAGAATTAATACAAAGCAATTTTTTATTTGATTACTAATTTTCAAAATAATCTATTTTTCGAATGAAAGGTGTCTTGATCTTAAACTAAATTGAACCTTTGAAACCTTTCCACAAAAACTCTACTAACATCAATATGAATACAGACAAATTCCATTAGTTTCCTTATGGGAACTTCTTTCAGGCACACCTTGTTTTCCCCAATAATGATTTTGTCCTCACTAGCCCCTGGTTTTTTTACGCAGTACTTTTATTTCGTTTTATTATCAGGTCAAGTATAAAGTAATTCATTATTTTTGCATTAAATTGAAGGCTTTATTTACCATCGTTATAATCAACGCACATTTTTTGTCATTATGCCATTCTCAAAGAGACGCTTGGGTCAATCGATTATCACAGCTTTCCTCTATGGCCATTGTGTGATCTCACAATGTCCTGATGAAATAAAATTCACTTCGAGTTGTCCAAAGTCTGGCGCCTCTGAACGATTGCTGCCATCAGGCAAATTACTACCAGTACAGATCAAAATTAAGAGTTGGGAGTAGGAAGCTACTCATTGTGGATGATATTTTCCCCATCTCATCAAACACACAAAAAAAAGTTCCTGATTAATTGTGTGGACTCATTGCCTTTCTAACACGTCTATTTTCATTCGACATTGCAGTAAACGATTCACTCTTCTACTCGTGATGAGAGCCTCAATTTAATAGTTTTTGATTTGGCTCATTTAAGTCCTTAGTTAAATTTGTATAAAAAAGCCATTAATAAACAATACTAGTAAGAGCAAGTGCACTTGAACGTTGCTAAATGCAAATGGAATTAAATTTTGAAATTTCTTATTCCACTGAACCAATGTGCAAAGCTTAAGGAACGGATTAAATTGCTTTTCACTAATCCTTACAATTCCAACTGTTCTGTTTACATAAATAGAAATCCAAATCTATTTAAATAATCAGAAATTATATATATTACCACAATTTCACAGCAATGATAATTATTCTTAATAATAATAACAGAAATTCCAACTGCCCAACCAGTATGGAATGCAATCGGTAATTTGACGAATCTAAGTCTGTTGGCCTAAAGAAAAAAAATTTACAGCTGAATGCAGTAGTTTTGCATGAGTTGATTTTTGAGAAAAGAGAGAACAGTTTTTTTTGTTTTAATGCTGGTGTGACAGGTAAGAAATGATGTAAAAATTTACTTCATGGCCAATAATTTCATTTATTGTACATGACACAAATAGTAGACGAAATGATTTAGCAAAAAAAAAGAATTCAGTTTTATGACATTAATTAGGCAGACAAAGTTCTAAAACACTCTTACATTTAGAGTGTTTTCAGGTCTTAGAAAAAATTTAGATTAACAAGTCTATAAAAAAGAATTGCATATAATGAATAATAACAATAAGTTTGTCTATAATCAAGGTTAAAATATAAATCAATAATTTATTATTTTATTTATATTTATAAGTACGAGTATAATTGACGGTTAGTATAAAAAGTGAAATTAGTAAACCAATATTTGGTTGCGATCCATATAATATGGAGTGCTGCAGTATAGTCGCTCATTTTCGGCTGCAAAGAAAAAAATAAATAAAGTAGAAACTAGAAAAACATTAAGGGAAAGCTATGGTTTTAACTTTTTTACTACAGTTCCATAAAAAACCCTAAAACAATTCACGAATTTAATTTAACATTTACATATATATAAATTATAGTTATATTCTTTAAACTACCATTTAAGCTCTGTCTAAACTTACCTTCCCAGTCACATGCGCGCCGCTCAAGATGTCGCCGCCAAATGCAATGCGTGAATAGAACCATTAATAGCAGCATGACGACCATACCAAGAGCCAACAGCAAAGCATCGTAAGTATGCCACCAATTTGATGCCTCATTACCCGAATTCTTAACCTGCTCATTGGCATTCAAGTTCGATTTAGCGATACCGGTGAGATCCAAATAAGATTCAGTTAATTCGATGGGCGGCATTAAAATATCCAATTCGGTCGCTGAACAAGTTGGAGGTAGAATTTTCAAAAAAAAAAAAATATATATATATATTTAAAAATACATGTATATCAAAAAATTAATAAATTAAAAACTTACCTGCTAAGCTGTCGTTATTTAATTTTCTTTGCATGCTATTTTCGGTGACTATAGTTTCAAGACCAGAAATATCAACAAATTTATTTCCATCAATATTTGCACAATTTATTCGTATATTGAAGAACGCGGGATAACAAATTAGGATTATGGAAAGCAGATGTAGCTTTAAAAGAAACATTTTTTTTCCTTCTAACTTTACTTTAATTCGAAATTAGTTTTTGAATTTAATTTATATAATTTTTTTTAAATACCTAAGTATATTCATTTGATGTCTGATATGTGAACGTCGTACTTTGAGTAGTAATACGAATTGAATACTGTTTTTAATCCCCGTTACTGTTAGTCCACGCCTGATATTTTGTTTAACACAGTACATGCTCGTATGTAGAAGACGTATCTCTATGTATTTATCTTTCTCCGCTTGCTAGTAGAGTGCAATAGCACTTCTTTTATTTTGTATTTTTTATTCTTAAACATAGCTTACGATCAATAAAATGTAAAAATGCGCTAACTAGTATTTCACCGAAATTGGATTGTGTAATTTTCATCTACCAAAAAGCTTTTCGAAGCTACCTTGGGGCATTTTAAAATGCTCTAACTAATTGAAATATAAAGAAGGGAAGACTTTCAGAAATGATTCTGTGGAGTTAAATCACCCTAGCTGGGTGTTAGAACAGCGCAGAACCCTGCGGAAGGAACGGGTACGCATCCTCATCAGATCAACAAACCAAAGGTATAGGAAACAAATTTATAAAATGAAAATAAAATTAAATTTTAATTGCGATGGTGGGCGATTGAAGTGGGCGATTATTGAATGTACATAAATCTCTCCAAGTGTTTTTTTGTTTTTGACATAAATTCTTCTTAAAAAAAATCCATCAGCTGTTCGGGGGCAACTCAATTTAAACTGTTGGTCTCTTCATTTGTTCGAAAGCGTGAAGACATTCTTCAAAACTTTGTGGAGAGGCTCCCATAATATAAACAGATGCATACATATTTATTTACATATATATATATATTATATATATTTATATATATTTAGAACTACATTGACGCAGATTAGTATAAAATACATATATACATGCATGCAGATATAATAGAAGTAAAAAATAAAATTTGTTTTTTTTTCGCTTTTTGAAGGTATTAGTTGGGTCCCTCCCATATTTTATAAAATATCCACTATATGTAATGTTATTGTATAAATTCATATAGTGGCATTCAAGAGTTGCTGCTTTCTTTGTGTTGTATAATAATTTCATATTTATATGTGTATATATCTTTCATACCAATATATAGAACGTCCCAAACCAGATTACAGTCTAGAGGACACAGTCAATGAAAGGCCTTGTTCACGAATCAGGGTGAAGACTCTCGGTTGTGTTGGATGTTTTTTGTTTTGTTCAATTTATAATGAATATGAAAAATCAATGCCATTTTTATTTTTTATTTATAGACACGGCAAACGTAGCTTTTCATATAAATAAAATACTTACAGTTTATTGCTTTTTGTTACTTTATAGTTTATTTCCTTCTTTTGAATCTAGTGGTAATAAATCACAATCATTTCGGTGAAAGGATCTAAGGAAACTAAGTATGGTTCAAGTATACCATGTTGTGTGCCAATTTTGCCATTTAAAAATTCACCAATCCAATTATTTCGTGCGGTTTTCTAAGAGGTACAATATTATTTCGCGTCGCATTCATCGTCATTTCGCGTCGTTTTCAGTAGATGTCGTTCGCAACTCCAAGCTCGGCCAAGCTCCTCATCCAATTTAATGGCACGTGTCTTTTTTTTCAAGAAATGAGGGACCTACAGTTTATTCTGCATCACCTCCGAAGATCCCATGGATTTTTATAATCCGTGCTGAAAATATACTCAGAGAGCTTAGAATTAACAATTAGAGTAATTAATTTTCTATAATTTTTGAATCTTAATCGGACAAGAACGTGAATCCTTGTCATCCGAAAATTAGCATGCAATGCTACTCATGTGGCTATTGTAACATAAATTACATGAATATGTGTAAAAGCTAATTCTAAAAAGTCTCACATAGCCGATATTACCTCCCTCCGATTACCAGATACATTAGATAGTATGCCAATTAAAACGAACCTATTAAAATCTTATGCGGCCAACAGGCAATATTCTATTAATCGTTCTACTAGCAAACTAATCTTTAGAAAGTACTTAGTAAGTTTCATATCATACCTTTCGTAATTCCGCACCCTTATCCTCGTTACTAAATTTGTTTAGCCTGATGAAACAAAATACTTACACTTCCCTGGATCACGGTGATAAGTCATGATATTGTCCTTCTGTGTGGACATTTTTTAGACAGTTAATCAGCTATTTCATAGCCATCGATTTCTAAACGATTTCTAACTTGAACTCGATCAATGTAAACTTTTACATTCAATTATTACTTTTATTTTATATTTGAGTTTTTTGGGAGTATTACAGTTAATGCAATTCAGAAGGTTTGAATTTATAAAGAAGACTGGTATCTTTTAGATATTTCTTCTCCAAAATCTAAGCAATATTTCTTGTGAAACAAATTTAAAAAATAAAATAAAAAGGACAACTCATAGTCCCGACACGGCATAAAATGGGTACAACAAAACAACAAGTTTACTCTTCATCCCGAAAGGACCAAATAAGTTACTATTGTTTTTAGTAAAATCTTTCCTTGCACTTACTAAAAATATGACACGACTTAAGAAAAAAAAATTAAATATGCAAGTTAAAAATTGACTTATTGCTTTTAAAATATATTTCAGATGTCTTAGGATATAGAATATATTTATTCTTACCACATTTGCAATACATCCAGAAGTATATTTCATGCATAAATCTTGTGTGTAAGAGATTGAATAAAAAAATTTCTTTTAAAAAAATATCTTGTAAGAATATAGGGTCACTTTTTTAATTCCACGGCTTTGAATTCACATACTTACACGTTTATCGAAATTTTCCATGACCATTCTTGTACATAAATATGGCTGAATTTCATCGATGCAACAGTGCATCTCTTCCTTTAAAACACGCGTGGTTGTGGGCTTGTAGCCGCTGAAACGATTTTCGGTAGAGCTCCTCCACAAATTTGTGGTTTGTGTGTTCGTTAAAAAAAACGGTGTTGTCATATCGTGCACCAGTAACAGTTCCTGCTTGACCAGCGTTATTTTCCACACCGAACAGTAATGAGTTGTGGACGCATGTGTTTTTCTGCAATCACCCGTTGGTTCTCAGAGCCCCAAAAGTAGCAAGTTTGGCGTTCAACAAACTTTCTTCGCTGTGCGTGGTCATTAGTCTTCAGCTTTTTTGCTAATAGAATTTTTTAGGCATGGAGACACAGATCTTTCGTAGTATACGCTGTACCCATCTTGAAATTTGCAATTCTTGTCCCCAGCGCTAAATTAAAGTTTCTGGTTTGTCACTGTCACTCTCACGCATTAACAACTTGTTTTTGGACGATCAATGAGTATGGCACCTCTAACGGATCCTGTTTTCCGTAAAGGGATTACTCAATTAATATCCTCAGAGTTAATGAAGCTAAAACATTACTCCGATCATATATTCTTTCAATATTTTTGAAATATCTTCAATAATGGAGACACGTTTTGGGTAATATTTATGACAAAAATGGCCCATTGTGATCTTGAAACATTGGGTTTTACCTTCCTGCTCCTTTTCTATCCATTTTACTTGCTGATTAGCTAAAGGTGTAAGGCAAAAAATTCGGATTTCGAGTTCGATTTCTTTGATTGAGCTCATACTTAGACCTTCTTTCTTGTTGAAGTTTCAGATTGCAGTCAGGGTGATTTCTTAAGAGCTATACGAAAGTTTATGAAAGCAAAACTCATAAAATTCAGAAAAATGCATGAATCGATAGTACGGTCCAAATAAATTAATGTTTGTTGACCGTGACTGCGCCTCAAATGGCCCATCCGTTTATCCAATTTTGGCATACTCTTTCCAACATTTCGGCCGGTATCTCACGAATAAATGCTTCAAGGTTGTCCTCCAATTGTCTGTATAGACATTAGGTATATCATAGCCCTAAAAAAATAGTCTAAAGGCGTTACATCGCACGATCTAGGCGTCCAATTGACCGATCCCTAACGTGAATTAAAATGATCACCAAACTCACCTCTCAAGAAGTCCATTGTTACGCGTGGCATGTGTGGCATGTGGCACCGTCTTGTTGAGGCCACATGTCATGCAAGTCAAGCTCTTGCAATTAGGGCGAAAAGAAGTTGCGTTACGATTCAAATCATCTTTGAAGAAGTACGATCCAATGACGCCACCAGCCCATAAGCCGCAATTCTGTTTTTTACGCACCCATTAACCTAAAAATGAGCTTGCTCGGGGAACACAATGTTGATGGAAAAAGCTCGCAATGAACTTTCTTAACAGAGCACGCATTTTGATAATAAAATTTAATAATTTGCAAGCGTTGTTCGTTTGTAAGAAGATTCATGGTTAAATTATAGACCAAACGGAAAATGTTTGACAGTGACTCAAATCACGAAACGTGCGTCAACTGTTTAAATCACCCTTTATAGGTACAAAGTTATCCATGGCCTTTATGTACCAGCGGAGCTCACCAATGAAACGTAGCGGCTAAAACCAGGGCGGTAGCAAGACGGGAGTTGGCTCATTAGTTGTCCACAGAGGAGTACCTATTGGATTATTCCAATGGCCCATATGGTTCAAACTTTTTACAGAGATGTGCAACTGATAATACGAAAAAGTAACCTTCTCAGGATACGGGACCAACGCTGCACGCTTGTAACGAAAATGTATTGTAGTTATATAGCGACTGACTAGTTTTGAAAAGTCAAAAGACGCAAAACAAGATATTAAACCGACTTATTACTTTACGTTTTCTGTAACTAATAAGCCTATAGTTTGCTTTGAAAAGGTCTCCAATTTAACTCGAGATAACATGGTTTCAATTTCGTTCTAAGATTTGTATACTTCCGTACGCATGCAATTTAAATATGGTACACATTTCCACTCGATTGAGGCCGTAAAAGAAAACTCGCAGAGGGATCTGAGGTCGACTGATTTCAACAAACAAATTGGTTGACACATCGCGCTCATTTTTGTCATAGTAGTAGGACAGTGCTACCAACTTAAAAAATAAAAAGTGCTGACAAATATTCGGCGCGGGTAGTGTGAATGAGAGTTTCCGGAATTTTTCTTTTCCAAATATTCGTTAACTCGAACCATAAGTACGATTTGTCTTAATAGAACGATCCCAAGTTCACTTTCCGTAAGAAACAGTGTTCCCAATGTGAATCTATGTAAAGAACTAGCTCTGAAGCAAGTTTCGTGTAAATTGAACGATTTAAAAATAAATTTAATTTTCGGCTCCAGGTGCCCGTCCTGGAAAATTATTTCTTATCGGATGCCTACGCCATACGAAGAACACATCCTCCAAGTTTTGTGGTCAGTGTGATACGTGGGTTAGGCTGTGGGTTGATCCATCTGTCATTCAAGACCAATACTATATACATATGTAGAAATTTAAAAATTAAAAATTAAAAAGGGTAAATAAATAACATGGAGTGGGGAATTTGCTAACAACAATTTATACGTTTGTGAAAATATGTATGAAAACTAATATAAAAATTTGTATAAAAATTATCTAACATAATTGATGAAAAATAATGCCCAAGAAGAATATTTCAAATGTGGCAACATTTTATTTCTGTCACCAAACACTTTTAGTGCCAAAATTTATAAGTGAGACTACATTTTAATTTTTGTATCATTATTTTAAATAAATAACTAATTAACTTAATAATAAATTGTATCTCTCATGATGTTACTACTTTTACTCGCACAATAGTTCATTGAAAACCCCTTCATTTTCATCGCACTGCGTACGTGCGTTCCGAATAACTAAGGAAAAACACATACAAAAATTAAAAGAATATATATATGAAAATAACAATTTTTCGAAAAACATAAACGCCAACTTACCTCTACGTATAACTTCATTTTTCCGCCATATACACCAATACCAATAGACAAATATTAACAAGGCCATAACACCTAAGAGTATCGACCACCAAACTATAAATTCGTAATCCATTTCATCACCAAAGAAAGACATTAGTTATTTTTCCGACTCGGTCTGAAATAATTTAAAACCCGGTCTCCACAGCAGCTTATACACAATTCGACTGATTCTCTTTATTTTTATTGCACATTATTACTCATGGGCGCTCTAGGGGTAAATTTCGCTAAGAGCACATAGCTGCTGATAATCTTTTGAATAAATGAAGGTCTTACATATATTTGATATGAAACAGTTTACGCTCACATACAAGTAATAAATTCCATTTATTAGAATTTTAAATAAATACAAATAAAAGTGATTTTATTAATGTTTGTGCTTTTGGTATAAGCTTTATTTATAATTTTAACAAAGTATCTGTTTAAAGCTTTAATTAAGGCTGATATATTTCAAATATAACAACAAATATAGCCCATCTGAAAATATAAGCAAAATTAAATTGAAAGGATCATGCTCACCGCCATCACTTTCACCAGTTCGAAAAAGCGTAAAAAGCTATGTATTAAGTGCAGAATAGCAATTCTTCTCCACGCTGCTTGGTACTTTTAAAAAGCTTTTCTTATATTTGAGAGTACCACCTCATTAATTAAAACAGTTGTGATAAATGCAAATATACAGATTAGAAACTTTCTTACCAAAGTGAGTTCTTGATTCTCAAAACACCATTTTATGCCATCAATTTAATAATCATAATGAATTCATTTCACTGAAGAGATATTTATTTCCTACTGGGATGTGAAACGGATAACCGATTAGCCGCTCGTATGATTTAATTTGCATTCTCTTATATTTCCATGGTTGCGCTCTCATTTCAGATAAGGGAAACTAATGACATATTTGTTTACATCAAATAATTTTTATATTAAACATGTAAATATTTTCAGGGAGCTAAGTAAATACATATTTCTTTACAATGGAAAAATGTACTAGTATTACAAAGTTGTTAAAACACCTTTATCTAAAACAATAATAAGGTAACTCCTAAAAAAAATCTAAAAGAGATTGTTAATCTCAAGAGATTCAAGAATTTTCCCGAGGTAAGGCAAGCCTGTCGTAAGATACTACTAAAATCCACAAGTTCCTACGATCGTCTAGGCTTTATACCGGCCAAGAATTATCACTTCCACAACATTTCCCAAAAAACTGCTTACAATATCTTAAGTTCCAGATACTACCTCTGCTTATTGAAACCAACGAGGTCGATCGACTATAATATACACAGACCACGGACTATGAATCAGCAATAACGCGGCACTAACTTCTGTATAATTGGAAGCGCAAATTGAAGCCAAGTTGCTCTCTACATAATTCTTCGAACGGAGTGCAGGCCATACTCTTCCTTTACTTCTCACAGTGGGCACCCATCCACACATTCGGACGATAAGGATGTTGGATTTCAAAGCTCTGATAAATTTTACTTTAATAAAAAAATGTTCACCGATACTGTTGAAAGATTTTGAAATATTATCGTTATAGCAGTAAAATTCATTATTACTTCATTTTTACCCGAAACGAAAGGCTGTCGTTGATTTTAAGTAGTTAGCAGATAATGTTAAATATTTTATAGACAATGTTAAATCGTTAACAGATAATGTTAAAGCTGTTACAGGCAATGTCAAATATTTACCAGACAATGTTATACCTTTTACAGACAATGTTAAATCCTCAACGGATAATGTTAACCTTTTTACAGGCAATGTTAAATCTTTTCCAGACAATGTTAAATCTTTCACAGGTAATTTTAAATCGCTAGCAGATAATATTAGGTGTGGGTAAAAGTAGTACATCATTTTTGCATGAAATTGAATGGTTTAATATTTTCTTTTCGCTTCCAGCGTTATTCAAATGGTTGCTAACCAGTTTTTTGTGCAATCTTTAACACTTGGGTAATCGAAACGGACGATTGGACTCGACAATATCCATGATTTTAGCAACATTGTCGACAATTGGCCTGCCACTCCGTGAATCATCTCTTACTTCAAAATTACCGAAATGGAGCTGAAACGACATTGTGCATGATTGACTGTGACATCATCAGGACCATAAACGCCCTGGCTGGCGTTTTCGCCCTTATCGAAAAAAAAACTGTAATATATAGCGTATTTTTTCTTTGCTAGTGTCCATCTTTGATGCACGTTCAAACAAAACTGAAGCAACCAAACACATAATCATCAAACAAGCTTGTGTAGTACTAAATGACATCTAGGCTATTACTATGCTAGCAAGCAGACATTTTAAAATTAACTTTAACGCTAAGTTTGTGATTTTATTTTTTTGTATTATCAAAACGAAATGGAATTATTTCATTAGTTGAGCTGAGCCTCTCTGTATCAGACCCATTCGCTTCACTTTTTTGTCTAATCTAGGGAAAGTAGAACTAACGTCAGAACTGCTAAAAAAGATTATAGGAGATAACAATAGCAACACTTCTTTAAAATATTGGAATTTCGATGCCAGTGGTAAAAAAAGCTGTCTTACTTATTTTAATTTGAAATCACTACAAAAGTCTATGAGCTTTTAATTATATTCAAAATTGCATTTCTTCTGCTCCTAACAAGAAGAGAATGTCGATGAAATAAGTATCATCCTAATATATGAAAGTACTTACATACATATATGTGTATACATAGTCTAGTATATTACCCCTCGATTGAATGCAGAAGCAGGCGATCTGTAAGTATCAGTTGTTGAACTTACAAAGGCACACGAATGCTGATAAGTCAGATGCTACCATATAGCGAACGCAATCTCATAACGCACTGTCACACATACATATGCAAATTAGAGTAATATTAATAACAAAGTAGAATACAGCGAAAAAAATTAAATAAAAACAAAAGATATGCGAAAAAAAGCAAACAAACGTAAATTTGTGGCCTGATCGACAATGTATGGAATTATTTCCTTTAGAATACTTAAAGCGCACGCTGCAAATCGGTCAATTCGTTCGATTCTCGGGAAAAATACATAAAATACTGTTCGGCGAATATCATACCAATCCGACAAACAACAGGTAGTATGAAGCCGGCATACCTGTCCGTGAGTCAGCAGCACTCGTCTATTAGCATTAGCAGGAACTTGAAGTACTATTTGCTACTGCTCAGTTGTCTGCAGACTTTTAATGGCACCAAAGCGTACACCATCAGTGGTAGATATTGCAAGCAGAATGTCAGCGTTAAATATCAAGTGTCAGTGATGCGTGAAATTCAACCAGTACGACGCAGTTTGCAATTGAAATATGAAACCGACAATGCTCAGACCATCAGTAAAGACACCGAAAACTACCTTACATACGAACCACGCGTGCGTTGGGAGACCAAAAGTATTTGCTGCCCCGGCTATCGTGCGCTGTTTTTCGGTTTCTGTGAACCGATCTGCGATAGTGCGTGTCCCCGCTTTAGCTATTGTGCCACACCTAATCGTTGTGAGTGTTTGCCAGGCTATAGCGAACATCATCCGAACAACAAGCAGGAGCAATTGCTTGACTGCCGGCCATTTTGTGAGGATGGTTGTCCGCCGCATAGCTATTGTGTGGCACGTAATCGCTGCGAATGTCGGCAGGGCTTTAGTGATACAAGCAAATGGTGGTTTTTACCATTGAAATGTGAGCGTATTCGCTGTGCAGCGCCGGATCAGCGTTATGACGTGAAACAGGGTTTGTGTGTAAAGATCGAGATGAGTATGGAAGAGCTGATGCGAAAGGTCGCAGAACGGTTGTCCAAGGGCTTGAATGATAGTGTGTCGTTGGGTAGCGACGAGGAGGAGGATGAAGATGAGGAAGTAAACGAAATTTTACCCGAAACGACGTTGGGTACTCGGAGCGAGGAGTAGTCATTACTTTCACTGCGTTGCTTAAATTTAGTTTCACTGTACACAATTTTTATATGATTTCTTTTTATATGTTTTAATATAAATAAATAAATAATTTTGAAGAAATATGCAAATTTTTAACACCGACCGCAATTTCTTCTCCTAAATATACCTTGTTTGTTTTGCTTAAAGCTTTTCGCGAATATTTTTTTGATGAATTTCCCAGTCCAGGGTCCAACCTGCCTTTAAAGAAAAGCTTTTATGTAAACCTTAATATATGATATCCAGTATACGCCAGCTAGACTTTCGTTATTTCAACATCGAATGACTCTCTCGGTTTTTTTCCGATTTTGTCAACTGTACATGATTGTGAAACGTCATTCAGTACCATTTAAACCATGAGCCAATGCACAACCCAAGAACGCGCTAAAATCGTTGTGTTTTACATTGAAAACAATCACTCAGAGCAAAACATCACTGTTTGGGCGGGAGGGTGCTAACAAATCACCGGAACATTTTTTACTCAAAGTTGGAGAATTCGTCAGCGGGCAATCGTTGGATGTTGGTGCACTTTGTGTGACCGCAATCGCGTGGAAAAGGTCTGACGAACTTGTATTTCCAACAATTCGGCGCACCTTGCCACACCGCATCTGCTACGATGAACTTTTTGACACCTTCTCGGGACACCTTGTGTCGAAAAATGGTTACTTGGAGTGGCCGCCTCGTTCTCCAGTTTTAACTGTACCTGACTTTTTTCTTGGTAGCTATTTAAAAATATTTTAAAAGTAAAGCCTGAAATGCTGGCCAATGTTATGCAGAGTGCCGGATGAGAGCTGCTTTTTGTGTATCAAATGAAGGTGGTCATTTAGTCGACGTTGTATTCTAGAACTTATTCGAAATATCCTAAATAAATCTTTCTGATTTGTCAAAATAGGCTGGAAAATATCAGAGTTCCCCAATGTTGAAATATTAATAAAAGGCGCACCCTGTTCATATGTACCGTTTATGGTTCTTTGCAGAGCTGGCCACCGCCTTCACGGTTACATACGAGCAATCGGGCCTACTAAGAGAAGACGGAGTTGATACCTCTCCTTTCACTAGCTTATATTGTTCCAGAAACTTTCAAGGCCGTAGTGAGACATCGATTAGGGTTCCGGTTCCTTCTGGTTCAGAGTAGTGGTTCAGTGCAAGGAATTTATATTCATATTTGTAAAACCGTCTTCAATGGAATTAAATAACCCTTGTTCCTAAGGGTTTGCTCGCAACATTAGTGTGAAATAGGGATCAATAATTTGGAACATGCGGAGTCAAATATATTCTTACCCGTATAACATCTAATCGAATACTGTTTCTCTTTCTTGCCTTAAAAAAATCGAATTCTTCTTCAATCGTATTCCCTCGAATAATCTCATAGCCGACGGATGTCGACACCGTCCATACTGCTGCAAATAATAATAGGACAGGAACGATGAGAGATTTGTAGATTTTGGTTGTCGTTTACCGAGAGAGGACTTTACGATCTCGACTGCCGACAATCTTATCCTCGTTCACTACTAGACTCGCCCGCTTTGCATTCTTAACAAGGCAAAACTAGCTGCACGATTGTTAAGGCCTATGATGTCATTGCTAGTAGTACAACTACACTCTTGCAAAAGATTGCACCAAATTCAAGAAATCGCACGGAAAAGAGTAACACCATGTCTGAAACTTCATTTGTTATCTAACTGTTCAGTTAGGGCTTCTGGTGTTGTTCAGCACGAGTTTTCACAGCCGTATAGGTTTTCCGCTCTTTACTGTGCTGTCGAATGCACTCTTAAAATCGACAAAAAAGTGGTGGGTGTCTATCCTCTTTTCACTGATCTTCACCAAGATTTGGGGCACGCTGAATATCTGATCAATGATGGATTTACCAGGTCTAAAGCCACGCTGATAAGGGCCAATCAGATTGTTGACGGTGGACTTTAATCTTTCACACAGTATTCTAGATAGAACCTCATATGCGATATTAGGAGGATAATCATGCGGTATTTGGCGCAGACTGTAGGATCTACTTTTTTACAAACAGGTTATGTCGGGTATGCTTTCGTCCGACCATATTCTCCAAAGAACCTAATGCCTGCCCCTTGTCAGCTGTTCACCGCCATATTTAAAAAACTCAGTCGGTATTCCTTCGGCTGCAGCCGTTTTGAGGTTCTTCAAGCATGCAATTGCAGGTTTGAACATCTTTCCCATTATCATTGATTGAGGTTTCGGGCTTACCATCTTCGGCTGTGGTATTTTCGCCACCATTCAGCAGGCTGGAGAAGTGTTTGCACCACGCACAAGGTGTCAAGATTTTCATATTGATTCTTACATTATTATAATCTGAGTATATCATTTCATAGAATATTCGAGCAGTACCTTTGTCGGCCAACTTCTCAAGCTCTGCATACTCAAGAGTTTCGGCTTCCTTCTTTTCGTTTACAAAAGCGTCTTCCTTCCCTCTTCATGTGTCGATATCTACCCCTCGTGTTGTGATCGATCGCAATGTTGCGAGGTTCCGAGGTAGATAATCTGTCTTCTCTCCGGTGCAGCTCTACATTCCTTATTGCTTAAAAAATTTTCTGGCACGTAGGAAGCTTGTGTAGAAGTTTATGCAAGCGAAGAAAGTTTTTGTCTGCTATTTATCTGAGAGTGGCCAGAAACGATTCTTTTGCATACAGTTCAAGGAGCTTATGACTTCCAGTGAGAAACGAGTTCACCTGCTGCACTAGATAAAAAATAAATCCAATGAAAACAAATATCTCGAAATTCGCTTGATGCTCACTCTAATCTTCTTCCTTATACTAAATAGGTGTATGAAATTTTTTACTTCCAAACTCTGGCTAGTAGTGATGAAACTCTTGAAATCTTGTGAAAAGGATTTTGAACTTCACAAGCTTTTATATTGCTAGTGACTTGATTTAAACTAACACATTTGACATTGGTTTAACACACTGCTAAACTACTAAACCTATTGACTTAGCCAGTTGTGCTTTGGTACTTGCAGCCGTCACGTAGAAAACCGGTTCTCGTAGGTCTAAAAGGGACTATAATTTTTGGGTATGCACCTGGAATATCTAGCCCTTTAAATGGGTAGGTGCCGCTGCCCATCTGGTTGATCATAAGATTTAAGACTGATATCTTCACGTCCAAGGATTGTGATAGTCCAGCAAAGTATGGAAATGAGTAAGTCCTAGTAACTGTAGTACAGCGAAGATTTGGTGCCGGATTTGTTGTGAGAGAGAGACTCATTCATGAGTCCTTGGATTAACCCAGGTGGATGAACGTCGCACCAAGCGAAATTATTTAAAATATCGTTGATTGTCGCACTCGCCCTCACGAAAGAGAAGGACAAGGAGACCTAATATATCTTTAATGAGCGCCTGGAGTGTACTCATGAGCGCTGCAACTCTATAACAATTGTGCTTAGCGTATTTGGAGCAAGCGTGCGCAGAGAAGGGATCTTCGGCAATATTGCCGGAGAATGTTTATACAGAGAGACCGAGACACATAGGCAGACGAGAAGAAGAAATTAGTCGAAGTGCGTAAGTACGAAGAGCTTAAAAAGCTAGTTCGGAAATTCTGCGAAAAGATACGGCGACTTGCAGAATATTTCAAGATCACACAGACTTGAAAGAATAAAGAGGGGTTTCTAACGACTGATGCCTAGAGTACTTTGTATTTGTGGAGGAAATACTACTCCAGCCGGCTAAATGTCAGTGAAAGTAAAACACCAGAAGATTGCCAATCCATTCCCTAATCTGTGACGTTGGAACAGATTTTGCAATACTCGACTATGAAGAAATTTCAGTAGCAACCACAAAGTGATTGCCAGCCAAGCTGTTTTAATGTCGTTTATAATGTTTAATCGAGTGAAACCCATTGGCAACAAAATGATTGGACCTTATCAATATGGGCTTATACCTGGGAAATTCACCATCGATCAGATATTCATCATGCATCAAACTTTAGAAAAGACACGGGAAAAGAGCATCAATACAAACAATCTGCTCATCGACTTGAGATCAACCCTCGACATTCTGAATTTGGTAGTTGCTAAAAATTTATACGATTGAGTAAGCCGAATTCAACCAACATCATGAACTTCGTCAGAATCGGAAAGCACTTTTCAGACAAGGCGACTTAGAAACACTCTTCGAACAAGTGTTCATTACGATTCCCTCATCCTTGCCGCCTTACCATATGCACCAGAGACAAGAGACGCGGTCGATGAAAGCAGCTGATGATTCGGCGCTGGCTGTTTTCGAGAAAAAGGTGTTTCGGAAGATTTGGGGTATTTTTGGCACATACTGCAGCCAATGGTACGATGAGCTGTACCAGGCTATAAAAGATATGCGGCAACATTGGCATATTTCGGCGGCTACGCTGCGTATTCATGTCGTCTAAATATATTGAAGCACTCCAGTTTTTAAAGTTTTCAATGCAGCCCATTACTTCTATGGAAGGGCCACAAACACTTGCTCTCTTTCAATCTCGAAAAATATTGTGGACAAATACTAAGGTATTTTTTTCTTTTGAGAATATATATAAGAAGGTATCATGAGTAAAATATTTTCAGATAGGTCTGGAGAATTAATTTCTTCAATACTTACTTAAAAACAGTTTGGTTCAAAATCGTTCAGATTTGATATGACAAAAGTTTGAATACATACGACTAAGTGCATTAACTTAGTAAGTAATAATCTTTTTTTCCCAATTTGTATAGCCGCAACCACATGACCGTATGGTTTGTACTTCATTATTTAGTACCAGAATTTTTTGTTTATTAATCCAGGGAAATTCCATAACATGTTGCGGTTTTATTTTAAGATAAGAGACGAGTTTTAAAAAGAAATATGGTAAAAGTTGAGTAAAATTATGCTTTTAGTTAAATTTTGTTACGATTAAGGGATAGATTATAAAAATTTTATAGTTCACACCTTTTCAAAATTATGTGAGCTAGTAAATATTTTGATAGATAATTATATTTTGGAAATACATGAACAGAATTAAATTGAATATAATTAAATTTCTATGAAATTGAACTCTCAGAAGCATTTATAATAGTTTTAATGAGCGTTAGAAGTATAAAGACTTCCATTGTTTTGAGGGTGTTAGTTAAAAACAAAGTGCTGATTTATTTCAATACACAATATATGACCACTGAATGCGCGTATTAAAAGAGTTTTCGAACTAAAATAATTTTTCGGTTTCGCTGTTCTATCTATTAAACACACAATAATGGCGCACTTTGTACATAAGTGAATATATAATAGATATATATATAATATTTCCATGGCTCAAATCAATTACAGGCTGCCTTTTTCTCTTTCCAATAGAAAATTGCTTAGGAAGTTTCTAAATTTGACAAATTCATTGTTTTTTTTAAGTGTTAAGAACTAGAGTCCCATTACTACAAAATATAATTTAAGCGATTTCTTTAAAATTTTTGAGAGGGATGAAATATATGTGAAAGCACCCTGTAACCACATGTTTCTAACACATTCCAAATGAAACCACAATTCCAAATTTTTACTTTTTTTTAAGTTTCAGTCACTGAAAGTAGTGTGTATTATGACTCAGTGGAGCGTTAAACAGTTTTTAGAAGTTCCCATTCTTTTTTTATAACTCTTTGATTTCAAGTTTTACACTTCATCCCTGTTCTTCTTACATCACCACAATTTACTTCGGTTTATATGCTAAGATTTATGGCGCATGCTGTTCAGTTCGTGGAGTGGCTTTGTATTAAAATGTCGATTAAACGCAAGTGCTTGTAAATAAGTGAAAACGGTTCAGAGAAAAGTTTCAAAAATAACGAAATATATTTAATTGCATTTGAAAATAACTGCATTTATAATATTTAAATATATTCGTGTACATAACAAAATGAATTTAAAAAACTTAATAGTGCTAACTGTGTATGTAATAGCAATCGATTTAATTTCGTGTGAGTTGTTTCCGACAATAAAAAATAAAGCGGAAGATCAACATAAGAACTCTTACAAAATTGTATCGAGTGGTAATGAAAGTCAAAAGGTTAGTAGCTGATAAAAATAGAATTTAAAATAAAATTTCGATAAAATTAAATAACTGTAAAAGGTGTTCTGGAAAAGAAAAAAAAACTATTATTTAAGGGAAAAAGTTGAAGCCAACGTCTTATAAGAACATTTTTAAAGATATTTTGTATTGAAAAGGAAAAAATTTTTCACAATATTTCTTATTTCAATTTACTTGAAAAACTAATTAAAAATATTAAATTTAAAAATTTTCCTGCATGATAGCGAAGTAAATGTTGAGACACCAGTTAATAGTCTGTCATAAAAAATGCTTGATTTTCTTAAAATTAGTTACTTACTTTACTGGCGTAGACAATGCTTACGCGATTGTAGCCGATTTTCAAGAATGCGCCATACGTTTCTTCTTTTTGCTGTTTGGCGCCAATTGGAAATACTAAGTACGGACAGGTCCTTCTCTATCTGGTCTTTTCAACGTATTGCAGGTCTTTCCCTTCCTCTACTTCCACAGGCGGGTACTGCATGGTAAACTTACAGAGCTAGGGTATTCGTATCCATCCGGACCAGCCAGATGATTCTTGATTCGCTGAACTATAGCAATGTCGCCGTATAACTCGTATATCTCGTTCCATCGTCTGAATATTCGCTGTTGTCAACGCGCAAAGAACCATAAAACTTACGCAAAACCTTTCTCTCGAAAACTCCTAACGCCGAAACATCAGATTTTGTCATCGTCTATGCTTCCGCATAATATAGCAGGAAGGGAACGATTAGGAAATTGTAGAATTTGGTTTTCGTTCGTTGGGAGAGGGCTTTACGTTTCAAGTGTGGATGCTCTATTCAGCTCTGCGGTTCATATTAGTTTCTCCAGCAATAAGTTAAAAAAATCGCACGCTGACGAATCACACTGTCTGAAACCTCGTTTGGCATCGAACGGCTCGGACAGGTCCTTCCCGATCCTGACGGAGCTTTTAATATTCCTTAGCGCCAGTTTACACAGCCGTGTAAGTTTTGCGGGGATACCAAATTCAGACATAGCGACACAAAAGGCAGCTCTTATTCGTGCTGTCGCAGGGAGTTTTAATATCGACGAAGAAGTGGTGGGTGTCGATCCTCTTTCATAAGTCTTTTGAAGATTTGGTTCATGGCGAATATCTGGTCAATGGTTGACTTACCAGATCTGAAGCCTCACTGATAAGGTCCAATCAGTTTGTTGACGGTGGGCTTTGGTCTCTCACACAATACGCTTGAAAGGATCTTATAGGCGATATTAAGGAAATTTATTCCACGACAATTGGCGCTTAATGTGGACTGGGCAGAGCATACATAAATTCTAGTCGCCGGGCATGCTTTCGTCCGACCATATTCTGCAAAGTAGCTGATACATGCATCTTGTCAGCTCTTTACCGACGTATTTGAATAGTTCTGCCGGTAGGCGTCAGCTCCTGCCGCGTTTTTGTTTTTTAAGCGGGCGATTGCTTTTCGAACATTTTCATGGTCTTGCCCCCCTCTTCAAATCTCGGTATCTATCCCATCCCGCACGTGTTGTGGACGATCGCAACGTTGCGAGGTAGGCAGTCTGTTTTCTCTCCACTGCGACACGGCAGTCTTCATCATACCAGCCGTTCTTGCCACCTTTACAGGATACAATAATTTCGTTTGCAGCTATACGTGAAGAGTTTGATATTCCGTCCTACAGGTCACGAATACCGAGTTGCTGATGAGTGCTTTCAGAGAGAAATAATACAAGTCGAGTAGAAAATCTTTCGGCAGTCTGTTGTGATTGCTGCTTCTCAACGTCGTATTTTCCTTGTGCTTGTTGACAGGCATTTTTCGATACACAGAAGAGCATGCGTATCTTTGCTGCTACAAGATAATGGTGCGAGTCGATGTTGGGTCTTCGGAGTGTGCGCACTTCAAGAACACTTGAGCCATGTCTTCCGTCTGCCATAATGTGATCGACCTGGTTTTGTGTGTTTTCGATCAAGGTATAGCCAAGCAACTTGACGTTTTCTTTCCTGCTGGAATCTAGTACTAAAGACAACCATATTTCGGGCCCCGGCTTAGTAGTTCAGCCTCAACCCATTAGGGGATGTTTCATTGTGAAGGCTGAATTTTCTAACTGTTGTATGAAATATACGTTTTTTGCCCACTCTGACATTAAAATCGCCAAGCGAAAATCAAAGATATGTTGAAAAACTTTGCATTGATGCGGATTGTGGCGAGACGCTCATCCACCGGTGTGAATGACAGTACTCGACGACGGAGTCTCTCTCCCACCACAAATCCAACACCAAATTGCGCTTGTTCATATGGCCGCTGTAGTAAGTCTTACCCTTAAACCGAATGAGTCGGATTGGTTCCACTGAAGCTTGCTCTCTCATTGGCGTTTACCCAAGGCTCCACATGTGTTGTATACCGCATCTTGCACAAGGGTTGCTCACGTTTCCAGGGTGCGCGAAGGGAACGCAAGATTAGGAATTGACTATATCCTCGCTACTGTAACACCATACCAAGATGTTTTTGACTACACCTCATTACTACCCAATGCAAAGGAGCCTAAGCAAAGCTATTCTTCAGCTCCTACAATTTCTTTTTCCATGAAGTTAAAAAAAGCCATATATCGGTGCTCGGTAACCTCTGTCGCGTTCTCTAACAAATAGGTTGACTTACAATTTATTCGAAGCCGATGGATTTTTATGAAAAGTTTTTTTATTTGAAGTCAAAAATATACTCGGTGAGCTTGACATCCACTATCGAGGGACGAACCAAATTAGAAATTTTGATTTTTCAATAATTTTGGATATCGGTTTAGATTACCCTTAAACCAAACATAATTACAAATTTTTCGTAATATTATATAGCACTAGCTTCTATTAAAAAATTTTATGATTGTTTTCACGGCCTGTGTTATATAGGTTGTTGTTAATTTCAATAATGATTTTATTAAACCCAACCCCTGCGCTCCTTTCGCCAAACGACAGCGCTATTCGCCATTAGAATAATATCCCATTATTTTCCCGTGAAGCCCTATTAAGGGCGGAACCTGGTTTAGAGGGTCAAAAAAATCTATATTTTGAAGCTTATCTCATTCGATTAGAAATATATTCAGAAATATTTCCATAAAATTTCAGACTCAAATTCCTAATCATTCCGCAGAGATGGTCTCTGAGAGAGACAATGCGCTCAGGAGACTGAGCGGGTGCGAGAGCTTTGAACGCAATTTTCTCAAAACAGTGTCTTCTGTTTTCTGCACACGATTTAAAAGCTGTAATTGTCGCATTTTCATAAGTGTTACCTTTTTTACAGCTAATAATGTAGGCTTTCATGTGAACCTAAAAAGTCACAATAAAAAAATTTTTTATTAACTTTTTTCAAAGAATTATCCTAAAATTTCTTCAGAAAAACGCAAATTTTTTTATAAACAGTCATAAAATTAATAATTTTATACATTTCTTCGAATATCTTAGGTTCACATAGAATAGCAACTCCTAAGCTTCGAAAAAAGTATTCATTTTTATGTTTCAGATGAAAACTACGATCGCTATCGTGTTTACAATTTGATTCTTCGAGCGAGAAGTGCCACAAACAAATACGAATTGTTATTGCTTAGCAGTATCAAATAAAGGTAAAGACCAGCTTAAGCATGTGTTTTCCCTTGGACAGAGGTAAACCCGCATCGTGCGTATGCTTTATCGTGGGTAGAAGGGTTCGTTCCCTTGCTAGTTCATTCGCCATGAAATTGCCTAAGCTGTGTCGACAGAGTACGCTCTTTGTTTCATGGAGAGGCTCCTTGGGGATAGATTCAGGTTTATGTTGCCGTCAAATGGCCTTTCAAAGATTTTTAAGAGGAAGGCACTTACGTGGTTGGCTCTTCCTCCTTTTGGGATAAAAATTGCCTTGGGAATATATCCTTTACGCAGACAGGCCTCATAAATTTATATATCCTTTACGCAGACAGGCCTCATAAATTTTGCATAGAAGTGGAGATTAGATGTCGTCAGCCCTCGGTAGTTCAGCGGAAAAGATACCATCTAGACCTGGGCTTACGGCATACGATGCTGCTAATATCAGAGATGTGCTAACGTTTTATACTTGGGATTTGGTCGTAATGGATCGAACATCCCGGAAAATTAGTGCACATGAAGATAGCCACCATTTCTTAACAAGATATAGTCCATTCCCTATCCGGTTTCTAGATATATTCTGCAATGGACCAGAAAAAGAGTTCAAAATTAATGTTACAGACATTACAAAAGTGGATTTGCTCCCTCGGTTGCATATTGCAATATCATTTCCTAGTATCGATTGGGGCTTTGGCTTACTATCTCCGGGTGTTTCCCTTTCACTGTTGAAGAAGTGTTCACTACACCAAGTTCCCTTTAATTGAGTTGCTGTGAGTAAAAAACCATTTGGCTGTATGTTGAGATTACATATTTTCGACGTTTGATATCTTAGCCTCGAAAAGATGACGATCGGAGTCGATATTAAGTCCAGAAAACTGGAAACATGTTTTCCGTTACTCACAACATAATCAATTTAATGCCACGATTTTCGATCCATCGTCAAACTTGTAGCTTGATGAATTTTCTTGTACAAAAATTTCGTGTTACAGACTACTATATATAGTCGCCTGAGAAGTCGATCAGCCACTGCCCGTTCGGAGGCTAAATTTCCTGATTGTTGGGCGAAAAATAACTTTCTCCCCGTAGTGTTATGTTTTTCTTCCTTCTTCTGTCCTTGTTTCGTCCGTCGCACCTCTTGGACGATGATGTCAGCCACTTTCATAGTAACAATAAAATCCAAATCACTGTATTTAAACGAAACGACTGTACCCTAATATCACAGAAAAATAAATTATTAACTATATCGAAGTTAATCAGTAATTATTCTTAAAAAACGAAGTGAAGATTCGTATTTATCGTTATACATTATCGTAGCAAAAACTTTTGGTACCCTAGATCCAAAACTGTGTATACATAATATAATTGGTACTCTGTAACCGCTGAAATGATTTTCGGCCGAGCTCCTCCTCCAAATTGTGATTTTGAGTCTTGATGTTCTTCCAACAAATGGAGCCAATCGGAGGGGTGGATATACCCTGCCGAGCCGCGACCGCCATTAGAAAATTGAACTTAATTTTGTATATATATTCATTTTCTATACATTTTTGTATGCTACTACGACACCAGTATTTCAATACAAGCCTTCCGAATGGCAGTACGCAATGCTAGCCACTATGCTCCAGCTGCCACCGTTTAGACTTGTATATTAATCTTTGTAATTGTTTTAAGAAATATTTCATTTTTATATTTTTATATAGCCAATAGCCCTGGTAGCTTGTGCTAATATATTGCTTCACAATTTTATTTATAATTAACAATAAATATATTAATAAATAATAAACAAATATATTTTTATGTAATATAAATATATATATTGTATATATATATATATAAATATATTAGTAAAAATTGATTAAATCATAATAATTATATTTTGTCACATTGCAGTCGGGTCTCTCGTCGGAATTTAATATACATTTATCGCCATGTATTCATCATTGTACATGTTGGTTGAACCTTACCTCCAATGATTGTTCCAATACCTGCCAGTTTGACGAAAGTTCATGTCTTAAGCAAAAATTTTCCACTTGCAACTTAGACGATTTCTCCATAAAATACAACGAGAGTGGCGTAGTAGAAACATATTTATGCAAAAATCGAGAAAAGAGTAAAGCAGATACAGGATCTAAGTTAATAATTATTTTGGGTTCCGCGTTCATTTGCATAATGTTGATTACAATCGGCTATTTGTGTATGCGTATTTATCAGACACGTCATGAGACAGGTGGGTCGAAGTATATATTGATTTTTGGTATCATAATAAACAACAGCATTGTTATTTTTGTACTAAATTTTGAATTAATTTTTATTTTTAGGTGCACATGAAATTCCTATAAGCTTACTGATGAAGTTTTAACATATGTACATATGTATTTATAACTGCGCTTCATATTTCAGCTGATTTATATACAGATGTATTCATCCATATTTATTTTAGGAAAGGAGTAGTGTCAATAAAAAAGTAATAAACTTAAAAGATTGTGTATTAATTATCAAGCGAAGCTGTGAATAATGCCATAACGTTTTAATAAAAAATACATGTAAACCATATAAATATTAAACATCTAAAATATATAAAAATTAATTATTGAAACTTTCTAAAAAGGAAAAACTATGAAAAACATATAAGAGTTAAGAATTAATTACACAAGATTACAGAGATTTTTAGTAAAATTTTTTTTTTTTTAAATGTCAAAATTAAATTTTTTTATATATGGAGAACAAGCAGAAATTGTTATAGTGACTTTTACTTTTGCATAAAAAATATTGAAACTTTCTAAAAATGAAAAACTATAAAAAACATGTAAGAGTTAAGAATTAATTACACAAGATTACAGAGATTTTTAGTAAAAAAAAATGTTTAAAAAATGTCAAAATCAAATTATTTTATATAGCGAGAACTAACACAAATTTTTATAGTGACTATTTCTTCTGCATAAAAAAGCGATCGATTTTCCTAGAAAAACCAAATATAATGTATTTTTGTAAGTCAAAACATTGCCTCAGCAATCAAACCTACTCCACATGAAAAAGGCTTACCAGTTTCAGCTCCCTAGGGAACTTCCTAAGGACGGATAATGGGAAATACATGACGATGATGAAGAAAACTGAACAGTGTAGCATCAAAGGACGCTACTTTTTCTGTGTTGATTGTGAATCAAAAAAATAACCCTATTTATTCGAACGAGTTTAATTAAAAACTGTTTGGATCAAGTGTAAAATAATGGAATTTACTGGCACGACAACTTCACAATTTCTATGAAGGTAGATGGGATCCGGTTACTGCCGAGAGAGAGTGATCAAAACTACACATTATGGTCAGAATTAACAGAAAAATCGTTCACAAAAATTCCTTATGAATGTGTTATAAGCAGAGATGCTCAAATACAAAAACGATGCAATTATGTTCTGCCCATATGAAAAATAACAGTAAACAAAATTATTTTGTTTCATTTCGGCGAAATGCAATTGTTAATGTTGAAACTGCAGAAAGTCATCATAAACGTCAATTGAAATTAATTTTGATAGCTGCTCTACCCATAACATTTACATGTTGCAACATAATCGATAGAAAATTTTAATTAATGTGAAATTGATTGTTACAATGCAGCCCTGGTTTTAATTCTTCGGCTGTGAAAAAATCCCTTTTTTGACGACGAACCCAGCGTTGCCCACCTCCCGCCCAACCGACCGACGGGCATGTCTGAGGAAAATCGATAAATTCAACAGACCGGTGACCGAAAACCAGTAACAGTCCGCACTACCTTGAACCCGAAACCGATCGCGGAAGGTCGCGGTTACACTTGCCTCTTCCATTAAGCAGCTACAGATTTGTTAATCACCTGCTATAAAATTGCATTTGGAAAAGAAGAGGGAATTTATTTAATTATTAAAAGCACTCAGTAAGTAGATTTTGATACAAAAAAGCGAGTCAGAGGAATCAATGTTGGAGAAATATGTATTAAAATCGTTACACAAAGATCTAGGAGGGTCGTGCATTTAAAAGTTTATTCTGCACGAGCCCAATGAAACGGGCCTAAAGTGTCTAGATGATCTTAACAGGATGGTAAAGTTAAGCTCGCTAATTAGGAAAGGGCTATTGATAGCACCTCTTATCAATTTAGTTAAAAATAAAACTACAAGCATATTTCTGAAGTGAAGGCAGATTAGTGAAGGAATAGGAAAGGCTAAAACTCCATTCTCCTTTTTAGCACAAGCATTTATATGATTTCTTAAATCAATGAAGTCAGGAATTCGTTCAACACTGTGATTATGTATCATATCGGCAAAGAATTGGAAAGATTTTCTGTGCACTTATTTAAATTTAGTGACATGCAGTTCGCATCGCACTACCTAACTATATTATTAGCAAAAGCTTTCTATCTTCAATAGAATGAACTGATTTAAAGAGCTTGACATCATCTGCGTGGATGAGTATTTTAGAATGAAGAACAACATTTGGGAGGTCATTGATGAATATAAGGAAGAGTAAGGGACCGAGGTGATTGCCTTGAGGAACTCCTGATGTTACTGCTATTTCACGTGATGTACATTTTTTAAAATCTACCAATCAAGTACGATGAAATCCACCTGAGAAGAGAAGGTGGAAACCCGAAATTATCGAGTTGAAAGTGAAGTCAAGGATAAGAGACCTTGTCAAATGCTTTGCTGAAGTCAGTGTAGATAACATCTGTTTCATTACCATTTTTGAAATCATTACTGGCAGGCTCGATAGGGTATATTTACCTTAACAAAACCCATGTTGTGAGATTTCTATAATTGATAATACTGAATGATCAGTTATAATAGCTTCGAAAATCTTGGGGATAGAACATAATTTTGTTATCCCTGTAATTCCCTTATTCTCAAATTTATTTTATTTTTATGAACTTTATAATATTTTATCGGTAGAATTATTACAACAAATTTATTTTTTATTTGAAACCATTATGTTGTTTATACTGATTACTCCTAAAAGGATGCAACGTTTCATATAAACTAATTAAAACAAATGCTTTGCAAATGCATCAATTAAAAAAGGTTTACATTAAGTAGCGGTGATCTTCAAAAGTTAACAGGTGTTAGATGTAGATGACCTACTTCTTCGAGATCAATGAAATCGAGCTTAAATACTACTTGCAGTATTTTCCGGATAATATTTAATTATTTTTAATTATTAATGTCAGACAACCATAGTTTAACGTGCTGTTAGGTATTTTAAATATAGTTGCAGCAGTTAATGGTTGTCAGAAAAGTAAGAAAATTCCAACTTAAAGAATCGATTAGCTCTTTACAAAAATAATCTAATTATATTAAAAATTAAATAAATTAAAATATATTAGAATCTCTAGGCTCGAAAGATATAATTATTTCCTCAAGACTTTTTTCATATGCAGATACAGTGAAAATTGGACTCTTGCAGGCGCTCACTAGCAAGATAAATATTTTTTTCATTACGCACTCAGTACTTGCGATATTCGACTCTTAAAATTGGAAAAGGCATTGTTTAAATGGTTTGCAAATCAAGTGTCATGTTAAAAGAGGTGAGTGGAAAAAAGTCACAAAGCCAGAAATTCGAGCGTACTTTGGGTTGCTAATTTTAGCTGGTGGTTATCGATCGCATGGATAAGATATGACAGAGCTGGGGAATGATAAGGTTGGGAGACCAATATTAAGAGCAACGTTATCACTAAGAATATACAAAGAAATTACTAGATTTCTGTGATTTGACGACCGTGAAGAAAGGAAAAATAAAATAATAATCTTCGATAAATCGGTGCATCGCTTGAAAAAATTGTATACACCTGGACCAAGGTTGACGGTAGATAAGCAACTATTGGCTTATCGTGGTCGTTGCCCACTTACTTAATATATACCATCGAAACCACTCAAATATGGCATCAAACATTGGGTATGTTGTGATGCAGACGATGTTGATGTATATGTGGGCCGCAACAAAAATTGTGCCACAGAATTAAATCAAGGTGAGAGAGTGGTTTTGCAGTTCACGGAAGGTTTGAATGAAAGAAATGTCAAATGGTTTGGCAAAAAACGAAAAGAGCGGCAGATAACGTTGGTAGGCACAATTATAAAAAACAGAAAAGAACTGCCTCCATTGATCATCGATATGAAGATCACTCACTCAGAATTTGTGTTTGAGCCAACATTGGGAGCCACACTTGTGTCATATGTGACGAAGTGTAAGCGATTTGTAGCACTGTTGAGCACATACCACAAGAAGACCAACACGACAATAACAAGAAGCCTGAGATAATAAATTATTACAACAAAACGAAATGTGGTGTCGATGTGGTGGACGAAAACTTGGGCACATACTGCTGCAAGAGGAAAGTGAACAGATGGCCAGTCGCAGTTTTCTGCATTGAATGCGTAGAAGAAAAACTTCCGCCGGCTACGTTTCTCCCCTCCATGAAGCGGGCGCGGTACCATTCGTGTCCACAAAAATCTAACGCGAGTTTACACTCTGTGGAATGCGATAAATTTTGCTAAAAAGTCTGTCCAGAGCACAGATTCACCCTTTGTGAAAATGTAACAATAATAGAAATCTATTTTTTTAAGTGTCACTATTTAAAAAAAAAACAGCTTGAAATAATAAAATAGTAATATTAAAACAAAATTTAAAAAAAAAATTGACACAACAGTCGTTTTGCCTTGGGATGCCCTCAGTGCAACTAAAATTCATTTTTCGTTTCAAAAGTTTGAAAAGGCTGCTGGTTTGGGTAGTGTGGATTTTGATACAATAATTTAAAGGTAGTTTCAATCTCTCTTCCCATTCAGCTTCATAGCTCCCTGACATTAGTCGTATTACATCTTTTTCATATATACTACCATCCTCTCTTAAAAATATCTACCATTTTTAAATAAAAAAATATATGCCGATTTTATTATTTTTTAATATTTAAATGCCTAAAAATGCTGAATTACATTGTAATTTCTAACATTTGTTAAGGGATTTCATCGACTAAATGCTTTTCATGATTTATTCAGTAAGTTGCAATAAAGTATCAGGAGTGTAGAGATTGTCTATCAGTTTTAGAGATACTTTAAGGATATTTTGTAAGTGTTGTATGAATGTTGTTTCAATAATTGTTTGTTTATGAAGGTAGTGTAAATTAATTATATTTACTAATTAACTATAAGTCATTCAAGATGATTAAATTTCTCAACACTTTTAAATTTCATGTAATCGCTAAATATTTTGAAATTTTGGAAATCTTGTCAGTTAGTTAGTTAAAGAGGTTTCTCTATCACGAAACCCTGATCATGCGCACTGGCACGTTGTGGTGCCTATGTTGGGGATATGAGGAGATTATTCTCACCTTTCAATACTCATAAATCGGTTGGTGCTTTTTATTATGTTTAAGAGATCGAAAAAGAAATTTCCCAGAAAACGATAACTGACGGCACTGAGAGCTGCGCAGCGGCAGAAGTAATCTTCCACCGTTTCCTCCTCATCTATGCGCCTGTAGCTGCGGCCAAATTCGTTCCTGTGTAGAAGAAGTAAATATTTAGTTCTGTTCAGTTCGATCAATATCCATACCTGTCTGGTTACTTTACTAGTAGTTTTACCCTGCCATCTGCTGTTTTCCCATCTGTTGCAAACTAGTCTTAACAGATACTTTTCTGAGGAAATAGAAATATTCGCGTTACATGCAGAGTTTACCGGGGTTATGACTTTTCCCTATAACCGGGGACAGTTATCTAGCAATTTCTTTTCTTACTTTTGCTAAAAACATCCATACGTGATTTTAATATTACAGCTTCTGCCTCTGCTTCTGCTTCTTTCCTTTTTTTATTTTTTTTTTTGCGGGTTCGGAGAAATATAATGCCTTCCGCATCATCATTGTGTCGTCACATCAATGGTATGGTTACTAAACAACTCTCCTCTGAGGAACCTTCGCCCAGCCTGGAACCGCTTTCGCAGTACTTCAAGGTAGCTTTCCATATTTCTCGTTTTGAGAATTACATCTCAGCACCTGCGTCCAGGTCCCAGTTTTTCTTGCGCAGTACATTTTTGACATAGTCTGCTATATTTCTCCAGTTGTCATCACTTTGAAGCATTACGGGAACGATGTTGTCCGCATTCAGATGGCCTACCAGGTTTACCAGTGTCTCTTGTTCCGTTTTCCAGCTTTCGCATTTGAAAAATGTGTGCTCAGTACTGTTTTCCGTAGCGTCGTTGTATATGCAGGACGGCTCTTCTGCTTTGTCGATTTTATGTAAGTATTCCCGGAAGTGACCTTGTCCTTGTCTGGGTGATATAATAGTTTACGTCACCGAATTTTCTTTGTGACCAAAGTTTCACGTCTTTAGTTAGCCTGGCCATCCATCTGCAAAACGTTTGTCTTTCCTAACAACTGTGCCCTTGGTTGTATGTATCTAGTTTTATGTCGTCTCTTGTTGTGTTTACAAGGTTTTCCTTGGTTCTTCAAGTCCCAGATTTTCTTTCTTTCTGGTGCTAGCAGTTCTATAGAAACACTTCCGGTTATTACGAGGACAGCTTCGCCTGACACTACCCTTAATGTTGCTGTAGGATATACTTTAGCTATAATCTTGGTTGATTATACTATAAGCGGCAACATCAACGAAGTCTTAGCAAACACGTATAGTGTAAAATATTTCGAATATATAATTTTTGTATTACGGTGAGGATAACATTCCTCTTTCTGAGTTACGCTTGCAAATTGCTGATTATGCATCAATATTCAGCTCATTGCAAAATTGCTTCAGGAAATATAACCCAGGATGATGACGAAGCTAACGGTAATGACACTAACGATATAGCGATCATTGCGAACACAATCACACCAGGGGAGGTCAACGATATTACAACAGTCCAGAGGATTGGAAGCAGTGTAATACTAAACAAATAAGTATGCACAAAACAAGCTCACATTGAAAATTTATTTAATCGCAAGTAAAAAAATTATCGATTTTTTTGTATTCCAAATGAAATTCGTTTTTTTATTACTGAATTAAATTAATGAAATAAACTTAATTTTTATTTATAAAAACCCCTTTTTAATCAAAAAAAAATTACTCGGCCTCAAAACTTGCACCGCCAGCAGATTTCATTACGTGCACGAATTTCCACTGTATTTCCTATAGGGAATCTACAAAGCTGAAATACAAATTTATTTCAAATCTTCTTCTTGAAACTATTTATATATATTATCACAATAAACTTATGGCTATCAAATCTACAAATATATATATATCTACTTAGTAAGAGAGCATTAAATATTATAATATTCACTTCCAAAGCTAATTAGGCACACATTGCGTTGAGCGTTCGTGATATGTGTAACCAGGATTGCAGATACACCGATTGTTGCTGTAACAAATGCCGTTGTCACATTTCCTGCACAAGAATTTAATTGATTTAATTAGATTAAATAAATTTATAAAATATATCTACTCACTGATAACACTCGCGCTGACACACGCCATCCTTGAGTTCATAGCCGGGTGTACAATAGCATTCGTTCGGTTCCCTACACTCACCGCCCTCTCCACAATCCGGATCACATACGGGTATACAACCGTCATCGGTTAATTGATAGCCCTTCGCACAGCCACACACTTCGGGCTCTGTACAATTGTGTCTGGGATTGATACCACAACCGTTGCTACAAATGGGCCGACAGAATTTCCGTGTTTCATCCAATTTAAAGCCGGGATCACACTGACAAGTGCCGTCGAGGAAACAACGTCCGTTCAGACAACCCAACGGGCAGGAGAACACACAATCGCCATTATCATTGGCAACGAAACTATCGAAACACTCACATTCGTTGGGCGCCACACAGCGGCCATTACGACAATTGTCACAGACGGGCTTACAGATTGTGCTGCCACGCCACCGCATCGGCGCATAGCCGGGACAACAGACCTCGATCTTTTGCTGTTGGTTGCGTTGATCTAGTTGTATACGCAGCGCGTAGGGGTATTTATCCACAACCTCTACACTGTAAGGAGTTAAAAAAATAAGTAAGAGATTAGTTAAAGGAATGTTAATACTAAGAAAAATGTATTTATTTATTTTTTTCAAACTACGATATATGAGTATATAATTTTCATCAATCAAAGTTTTATATATGCAGTATTTAACTACTACACATGGACTTAACTTGCCAGTAAATGGAGCAACAAATATAGTGTTTTTTAAAATTAACATTTCCAGACGTTCTAGGTTTTTAAAAAATAGTTGAAAAAAAAATTAACAAATATCGGTGATAAAATTAACTGAAATAAACAAAAATTATGCAGGGGTTCCCAATAAGAGGTATTATTTCGATATTCTAAGAAAAATTGCATTTATGAAGATAAGTGATCGGCTGTTTATTTCAATGTAATAAGGAATATATGCCATTAAGTATTGAAAACAATATCCACCGAACGACACGGCTATGCTTACAGGACCGTATCCCTATTATGAAATTTTCCACCACGACATCGCAAAGTGGCTGTTGTATGCCCTCAATAGCTTCACGAATTCCATCTTTGAGGTTTTCAATCGATGTTGGCTTATTGACGTTGTCGCAAAGTGTTAAATCACAAGATCTCGGTGGCCAATTAAGATCGCCTCTTCAAGAGATGCCACAGTCCGGAAACTTTTTCCTTTGGAAATGAATAGTTTCGTTGTTTGTTTCATTTAATTCCGGCCATAAGATATCATAAATCATCGCTGGAGCAACAGCAGCCTCACGTTGAGGATGAAAAGGCTTTTCAACAATAAGTTTTGGATTTTCCGATTCCCAAGTGCGATAATTTGCTTATTGAGGTGGAAATGGGCCTCATCAGTCAAGATGATCATTTTTATGCATTTCAAGGAACCAATCAGCAAAGAGGCGGCATTGTTGATGATCGGCAGTCTTGCATTTTTTTTTAACTGAACTTTACAAGCCTTAAGGCGTAAGTCATTGTGCACAATACGGTGTAATGATGTTTAAGGAATGTCGAATTGCAGAGATCGACGATAAATGAACAAACCTAAAACATTTTGGGCAACAGCGAAATTATTCCCAGTTATTCTTGATCGACGTGTACGTGTTTTATTCTTCACATTCTTCACTTACTTGTCCCAACAGCTCAGTTTCTTCCAATATCTGTCGTGCGTTATGTTGCGGTGTATTGCGGTCCGACAATATGCTTTCCAATGACCGAAAAATGTTTTAGTTTTACGAAATCTACACGATTTAACAATTTTTATAGTGAAATTTAATGATTTCAATGCTTTCCTTTTTTATTACTGGCATGGTTTTTACTTGTAAAATGTAAAAAAAATCTTAGCTTCGAAAGTGACATCTATCGGAATATCGGGGGTTTCAAAATAACTGCTCTTTTTAGAAATCCATTTAGTTAATATAAAAAAAAATTAAATTTAAAAGACAAGCGCGTTTTCATAAAAGCATACCATAAAAAATAAATTAAATAAAATTGGTTTCAAAAATTAGGATACAGCGAATCGAAGAAAACCTTTATTTGAATAAAAAAAGATATAGAATATATTTAAAAATTACAAATTAATATTAATAATAAGTTAAAAAAAAATATCTTATATAATATTTTAAATGTTAAATATTTTGGTTTATTTAAAAAAATTTGTGGGAAATTAAAATCGAAATAAAACTTAAAAGCTTATTCGACTATTTAAAGCAATAGGAAACTTTCATTACTGGCTAAAATTAATAAAATAAAAACAATAATTATTATTAAAAACAATTTAAATTTATTAAAAATTTGATAATTGAAGTACGGATTTGAAATATAACTTTTACAAAGATATTGGTGTAGTAAAATGAAATCCATTATATCTCACAAAAGTGAATGGTTTAATTTTAACATTTTGTATTACTTTTCGCCTTATTCAAATGGTTCCAAATGATTTTTCGCGCAATCTTTAGCTCTTGGTCAATCAAAAGAAAGCTTAATGAAGGTCGGACTCGACAATGTCCATGATTTTATCGACATTTTCGACAATTGACTTCCCACTACAATCACAAAACTGTCAGAAAAGTTTTTTTGGCACAAAATATTACCTTTCTAACGCCAGCTAGCGAAACCCGATCGAACTTATACAACGCGCGATACAGACCAATAACGTCATCTATTGGAAAAACTATGGATTTCTTTTTACTACACCGATATATAAGATTACGCTCCATTAATCTATACAAATCAATTTAACCGAATTAATTGAAAATCACAATAATTATGAACACCCGTTTTAACAGCTAATTGATTTTGTCTTATAATACTCTCGTATAATTTAATTCTAATTAAACTTATTATGTATAATTCATTTCCACCTCCCCACACTTACGGCACCCATATGTGGCACTTGTTGCCATCGTATTGCATTTCACTGGGTCGCATTTGACCTCTCGCCTGTTTCTCCATGCGCTGTTCATGTTTACGTACTTTTCGCCGACCAGACGTTGTCAAGTCACGATTATTGTATTGATTATTTGTATCATTTTCATCCACAAACTGTCCGCGCCGTCTGCTCACAACCCTACCCCGATAGCCGCGAGACTGCTGTTGATATGCAGTCAATTCGTTTGATTCATCATTTGCATCTGTGGAATCAGCGATTTGATCGGCGGTGTAAGGCTGACGCTGTCGGCGACGATGATGCTCGTATTGTCTTTCTGCACTAACAACAATTACAAGTTGTTGCAGGCATAGCAACAACAACAGTACGAATGGTTTTGTGGCCAGGAATTTTTTCATTGTTAAATTAACTTTTTGCAAGCGATTTTTTACACTTTTATATCAAATACTTAAATACATATATTTTTTTTTTATTCAGATTTGAATTCTTTCTTTAACTTAATTTTTTTTTTTTAATTTATAAATCGATTTTCTATTTGTTTGTTGGTCTTTCTATGGGTTTTTATATATTTCTAGTATTTAAGCTTTTTTTCACGGTCTCTTAAATTCTGCATACACTTTGGTTCACTTCCGGATGAATTTTTAAAATTATTAGTGTAGTATACATCAACACTCTCCGCACTTCTAGTTCATACTGAAAATAAGTTGAGCGAAATTTGTGCGAATCGGCACGCTGATCAACTTTAAGTTCTCCTTAATAGTGTTGCTATTTAATCAGCTCTTATCCCGCTGGCCAATCGCACATAGCCCCCTCTACACCCTGTCTTTCAGTTGTTTTTGAACTTTTAATTTTATAGGAAGTACGCGTTTACGAGCTGCCTTTGGCCCTCTGTAAGGTCTTTCACAGCGACGCTTATCAGTTTGTTTTTCATTGTTGCTGTTATTTTTTTGTTATTTCGCATGTGCTGTTTATAAGTTCATTTTTGTTGTTAACTGTATAATAGCATTAACATTGAATATTATTCACTTAGAGGTTCCAATGGGGATTCTAGAAATTATATTATTATATTTTGAGTTTTAATATTTAATTGTTAAAAGCCGATTTCCTTTCCTGAGTGAATTAACAATATATTTTATTTATATTTATTCCACACATAGGTGATTTGAGAAGCAAACGTTCCAGATTGACTTAGGTTCTGATTTGATATTGATGTCTTGCTCTTTCCTTATGTATTCAAACAATCTTCTACCTTCAATTAAGACTAAAGTCAATATTTTATAAAATTTGGTGTACATAACGGCCACCTTGCCATTATTCCGGACCACATCACTTCAAGGTGCATTGTTATGGTTGCTCTAAGGTTAAGGTGCTTAGACTGCTTGACAAGGGAAGTCTCTAAGCCAGTAACAACTCACTCGAAATTAAGTACTTAAAAAAGGAATAACGTCGATTACTTTCTACAAAAAAGGTCCACGTGGTGATCTTAAATTCCTCCGGAAAAGACTTTTCGCTGCTTCAGGTCTACAAGTTGTCAAACTTTACATCCTTAAAGGCGCAAGTAGACGGAGATAATTCCATTAGTCGAGACTTGGCTTCTGAATTTAAGGTATCGAACAGCCAATTACAAAATGATTTCTGGGGCAGAATTCAACGTATTCAGTCTTCAATATTATTATTTTTCAATACTAGAGCAGTTTTCCAAGTTTCGGAAAAAATTACCATTTGTATTTTAATTAATAATATTATTTTAGGTTTTTATTTGAAACGAATTCGCTAGATATCAGTACTTTTAATCCATGACTTGTCATAAATAATCTTCTTCTTCTTCTTTATTGGCGTTGGCAACGTTTACGCGATCATATCTGAATCAATATTAGCGCGCCATTCCTCTCTTCTTTTCGCTGTCTGGCACCAAGTAACTCTCCATCTGATCCACTTCCAGCGGAGCTGAGGTCTTCTTTGCACTCTGCTTCCACCAATGGGTACTATATCGAAAACTCGCAAAGCTGCAGTGCTTACATCTCTTTGGACGACATGGCCAATAGTCGACGTAGCCGCTGTGTCTTCATTCGCTGAACAATGGCAGCTCATCGTTCGATAGTCTGCGGTTTTCGCCGTTGCCAACGCGCAAATTGTACGTAAAACTTTTTGCTCGAAAACTCCTAACGCCGACTCATTAGATGTTGTCATCGTCCATGCTTCCGCACCATATAGCAGGACTAATGAGGGACTTGTAGAGTTTGGTTTTTGTTCGTCGTGAGAGGACTTTACTTTTCAATTGCCTACTCAGTCCGAAGTAGCACCTGTTGGCAAGAGCGACTCTTCGCTGGATTTCAAGGCTGGCATTATTGTTGCTGTTGATGCTGGTTCCTAGATAGACGAAATTAACTACGACTTGGAAGTTATGACTAACAACCGTGACGTGGGAGCTGAGTCGTGAATGCGATGACTGTTTGTTTGATTACAGGAGATATTTCATCTTGCCCTCATTAACTATCAGCCCCATTCGCTTCGATTCTTTGTCAAGTTTGGAAAAAGCAGAACTCACGGCGCGGTTGTTGAGGCCAATAATGTCGATATCATCGGCATAGGCCAGCAGCTGTACACTCTTATAAAAGATTGTACCCAAGCTATTGCGAGCTATATTTTTTCCGGCAAATAAACGGCTCGGAGAGGTCATTCCCAATTTTGAATGCGCTTTTGGTGTTGTCTGGTGTCAGGGTGCACTGCCCTATAAGTTTTGCGGGGATACCATATTCAGACATAGCGGCGTAGAGATAGCTCCTTTTCATTTTTTGAAAATCGACGAAAGGGTGATGTGCATGAGCTTTTTCCAAGATTTTACCCATGGTGAATATCTGGTCAATGGTTGACTTCTCATGTCTGAAGTCACGCTGATAAGGTCTAATCCGTTTGTTAACGGTAAGCTTTAGTATTTCATGACGTACTTAGGTTTCAGCTGCCGGGCATGCTTGCATCCGACCATATTTTGCAAAGAACCTGATGCATGCACCTCATCAGTTCTTCACCCCCGTATTTGAATAGCTCGGCCGGTAATCCATCGGTCTTTTAAGCGGGCGATTCCTATTGGGACCTTTTCATAGTCGGTTATCGGAACCACTTTTCCGTCGTCATCAAATGGAGTAATAAACAGTCTTTATAAATATATATAAGTCTTTGTCTTGCATGACTGCGGATCTGACCTGTTATCGATCTATTCTTTCGGGAAGATGATCTCGGACCGATCTATACGACAAATTTGTATTTATCGTTTGTTTTAAAAACATTTGATACCGATATCTTCGATGAATTCGAGTTTACTTTTAAATCATTTGATTTAAATGAATTTTGATACATGGTTAACTCTTTCCATAAATTGAAATAATTAACCGTTTTACTTCCGGGAAGGAGTCCTGCGGCCAATTCGATAGTTCAGTTGTGGAACTTATGTAGGTGGCTCTTTGACATCGTCGATATATCTATACATTTTTTTATAAGAGAAACAACGTAAAACCTTATGGAATTCTTATGGGGTCATCGTAGAAATCCGTGTGGGCGAAGTCACGGGCAACATTTTATAATCATCATTTTTTTAATCAATTAACCTTCAGTTTAAAGCTTAAAAACTCAGACCACAAACTAGCTGCGATGCCAAAACTTCCCGAATACTAGACATCGCTATCCAAGCCCACCAGACATTCATTAGCTAGACTTTCTATCCAAGATTTCGGTTGTTTGTTTCCACCTTACGCTACCTGTTTACGTGTAAATTCTTCGGGAAGCCCTAGGAAAAGTCACACTCACCCATTTTTATATAAAAATATAATCATTTTATATTTACTTATCGTAATACATCAGACAAACCTAAAGTTTAGGAACAATATATATTTATAAATATTATTCTCAAGGTATGTAATATATATTTTTTTTTTAGGGTCTGAATGGCAAATCTATTGGGTGCAGTCTTTGTAGTCTTCGTACCTCTTCGATATTGTCTAGCAGTTTGATAGCTTGTGTTTTTGGATGGTTGTTAAGTTTTTCGATATATCTTCTACTGAACCTTTATATTTCATCTATAACCTTTAGCTGGTTTTAGACCTTTATGTAAATAAATATTTTATATGTATATGTATATGTATGAAGCATTTCATTTTCAAGGCTAAGTTTGCATTTGGCTGCTTGAGCTGCTTTCCTTTCACGCCAAGTTAATCTTTGATCTCAGTGCAGTCCGAGATACATTGCACAATTCGATCTAAGAATTACGGAATGATTATGGCTGAGGTTTGGACACTCTTCTTTCCTAAGTGTAAAGGTGACATGGACAGATTTTGAAGCATTTACCGAAATGTTCCATTTGGTAAGACAGTTTTGTAAGTAGTTCATTCAATTGCCTTTGTACAATTTCTGCAGCCTCGATTGCAGTATTGGACCCAATACACTTCCTTATAGAACACCAGCACGTAGTAATGTATGTAACTTAGGTAAGATATAAGAAGGAGATGAAATGAGGTGTGAAGTATCTTTTTAATTTTATATAGCAGTCCTGAGAACCAGACTCTGTTAAACGCTTGGTATATATATTTAGATATCGAAAAGAACTTAAAATTGTATAATATTTAGTAAAAACCAAATGAAAATTAAAAGCACGTTTTTTTGAAATTAAAATTAAAAAAAAAATTCAATAAAATTATGTTAATTAAAAAAATACTACTTATAAACACTTTTGAAATTAGGACTTTAAATTCCAATGCACAGATAGATACATATATATGAAATATATCCGCTGAAGCGATTTTCTGCCGTGCTCCTCCTCCATTTTGTGGGATGCGTCTCAATGTTTTTCCAAAAAAAAAATTTAGAAACCTATAGTTTATTCCAAGCCGCTCCGAAATAGTCGATGGATTTTTATAAGGTGCTTCAATATGACATCAGAAATACTTTTAGAGAGCTTCACATTCCCCACCGAGAGTGACGAAATAGAAAAAATAATTTTCTATAACATTGGATGGTGTTCGAATCAGGACTCAAATCCAGGCCTACAAAAAGGCGGTGCGCAATGCTCACTACTTGTCTTTTGCGGACGCTGATCAGAGGATGAGAATTGTAAACTTATAACATAGACGGCAATCTAAAGAAACAAATTTGTTGACCTGTGACCTGTGTCATTATGAAGTCAGATATTCTTAACATGGTTTAAAGGAAAAACAAGGATATAGGTACGGACATCAGCGAAGTCCAGACTTAACTTATTATATATTGTCGGATGCGAAAAATGGATTTTATGGATTTTCCCGCAGACGTCGATGAAATTTTTAGAAAAACTTATCGGCTCCTTTGAAAATTATCATCCCTACGAAAACAGGTCAACAAACGCCATCACTTTTATGACTTTCTCAGTGCATTTTTATCAACCTAACAATGAGATTTTTTGAATCGTGCATTTCGGAAGCTATTTTAAAACTTTGAGTTTTTCGTACTCAAAAATTTCCTTATCACTTGCTGCATTCAATTCGAACCAGTGCACACGATCAAGTCAAAGTGAAAAGACAATTCAAATTCGATTTTAACTTTAATTTACAATTTAAATATAATTACATATTCACATCTAATAATTAACTTTTGTAATAAGCATTTGCCAATGAAAGCTCTAATTGTCCTTGTATTGTGGTAAGTTTGAAGACTCTTAATAATAAAGCCCACAAACTAAACTGACTCCATCCAACACAATTTAACAGCCTGCAGTTGCACCGCATTTCGGCCGCCGAGAGATGCCAACTACATCATAAAGGAGAAAATAGACAATTTCCAGAGGACTTCGCTTTTGGTGTCTCCACTGCGGCATACCAAATAGAAGGCGGCTGGAATGTAGATGGTAAAGGACTCTCCATTTGGGATACCTACACACACGCGCATCCAGAGCGTATACTAGATCGTACAAATGGCGATGAGGCAGCCGAGTCTTACCACCGCTTCGAACAAGATTTGGCGGCGTTAAAGGCTCTTAAGGTTTGTAAAAAATATACATAAAAACAATCATTAAACTCAATACAATTGATTTATTTATTTATTTACAACAGGTCAAATTCTATCGCTTCTCGTTCTCCTGGCCACGCCTGCTGCCTAACGCCGATACGACGGTGATAAATCAAAAGGGCATTGACTACTACAACAATATAATTGATAAGTTGTTGGCAAATGATATTGAACCCATGGTGACGATGTTCCACTGTGATCTGCCCGAGGCTCTCAACAAATTCGGCGGCTTCACCAATGACATTATAATCAAATATTTTCGCTTTTATGCCGACTTTTTGTATAAAACATTTGGTGATCGTGTAAAGAAGTGGATCACTTTCAACGAACCATTCGATTATTGTGTTCTAGGCTATGGCCGAGCATACTTTCCACCGCTCGTGCATTCACCCGGTGTGGCCGATTATCTATGCATGGATAACACATTGCGCGCTCATGCGGCGGCTTATCGTTCGTACAAAGCGAAATATTTCAAAAGGCAAGGGGGCAAAATAGGCATCACCATTAGCAGCCGCTTCTACTATACACAGCGCGGGGATAAGCACACCATCGAGCGCGCCATGCAGTATTCGGTGAGTGGAAAATAGCAGCGAGTATAGAAATTTACACTCTCCACTACAGTCGTGCTAGCTCTCAGTACTTTTTTATACAGCTTATGAGTATAGAGCTGAATAAAACGCTGTAAGCTAAAGCGTCTAGAAAGTTAAAACATTTCGTTTTTGAAACTATATGTAAGTATTTCAACACTTATTACTTACAGCTCGGTTGGTTGGCGAATCCTATTTATAGCAAAAGCGGCAATTATCCCCAGCTTGTTTTGGACGATATTGGAAATAATAGTTTACGTGAAGGCTTGGCTTGGTCACGTTTGCCACCCTTCAGTGAGTTCTGGACGAAAATTATTAGAGGTTCTGGCGACTTTTTGGGCCTTAACTATTACACCTCACGTTATGCTGAACTGTCGCAACCGCCTATTGGTGAGGTGCCTTCATGGGAATTCGACTCGCAGTTGGAGTACACTGTGGACGAGAAATGGAAGCAAGGCAATTCCAACTGGCTTTACTGTGTGCCGCAAGGGCTCGAAGATATTTTGAAGTAAGTAGTCTGTAGAATGTGAAAATTGTCTTCTTTCAAAGTTGTGCTTAATGTAAAAAGCTGTAAAAGTAAACTAATTCTATAAATGTTATTTGACCAATTTTTGTTGATTTAAAATAGTGTTCCCTGACCTTTAAATTTATGTAAAATAATTCTAAACCAATATATGCCACCGAATGGAGTTTTCTATTTCTCTTAGATTGTCATATTTATATAAATAGAGTTAACTGAATTATATTTTCATATTTTTATGCATAAAGATGGATCCGAGATCGCTATGACAATGTCGAGGTATTTGTGACAGAAAATGGTTGGTCGGACTATGGCGCATTAGAGGACACGGATCGCATTGATTTTTTGCAGGTAAAAATTATATTATTTTTAAATATGTTTAAAAATGAAATTTCAATACTTAACCAATTAGCAAAACAAAAGTTTTTGGTAAATTAAACTATTTTTCCGAATCCACTACTTTTTTGTTAGTATCACAGATGATCAACAAACGAAACAATGTAATTTAAATTTTTTAAGAGGAAAAAACGAAATAATTTGGTTACGCTCCGTCGTTATGTTATCGAAACGAAATGAATTTGTTAATGTTGAAACCACACAAACTCATCGTTAACGTTAATTTTAAAATTGCTGTTTACTATGATTTAACAGCGCCTTTCAATGTTAACGCTTAACATTATCTGTTAACGACTTAACATTAACGACAGCTTTTCATTACGGATATAAACTAAGTAAACTTTATGTTGTTGTTGTTGCTGTAACCGCAAAATTATTCCTCAAAGTACTTTTTGGGGAATGTTGCGGGAGTGACAGTCCTTGGCCGGATAAAAATCCGGGTAGTTCCGGTATAAAGACCCGACTGTCGCGGGAACTATTGGATTTTAGTCGCCTCTTACGACAGGCACGCCTTACAGCGGGTACATTCTTGAGCCCCTAACCCGCAAAGTTATGTTAACTGCTTTAAAGATAAAATATCTAAATGTTTCAACCCTACCGATGGTTGATGGTTGCTGATTTTTTGGCAAACTGTATATAATTACTAGATACTCGCATAAGGAAAATAAATAATATGAATGCAGTGAAAATATTTTAAATACACTTTGCGTCCGTTAAGGGATATCGAATAACAAAAAATTTACTTTAACTCCACCAGGCTCACCTTCAAGCTGTACTAAACGCCATCAATGATGGCTGTAATGTCACACATTATTCACACTGGAGTTTAATCGATAATTTTGAATGGAATATGGGCTACACGTAAGCAAATTCTTACAATACAATACCTTTCACTAAAAAATATTAATTATTCATTAACTATAACTAAAAATTGTTGGCTTATTAAACTATATATATATTATATATAATTTCAGCCAAAAATATGGTCTCTACTATTTGAACCTGACGAGTCCGCATAAGGAGCGTATAGCGAAAATGTCGGCACATTATTATAGAACTGTCATTGAAAGCAAAAAAATATTACCGATATTAAATTGATTGTTATTAACGAGTACATTACAGTCACATACTTTTAATAGTATTTTATATACATATAATGAAAAAAAATTTAATTTATTTAAAAACAGAGAAATGCATGGAATGTTTCGCCGCTTACCGCTGATTCCCCAACAAGAGTTCTTAAAAACCCTGACAAGCTCTTCCTTTTGCTTTAAACTTAACTTTTTATCATAGAAAGTTTCTCTCTCTTGTTGTTGTTGTTGTGATCACAAAAATATTTCTCAAAGGAGTTTTTGGGGAAAGTTGCGGGATTGACAGTCTTTGGCCGGCTAAAAATCTGGGTAGCTCTGGTACAAATAGCCGAATATCCCGGAATCTTTTAGATTTTAGTTGCCTTTTATAGCAGACATGCCTTATGTAATATATATATAATTGGCGCTTTGTAACCGCTGCAGCGATTTTTCGCCCGAAATCTTCCTCCAAATTGTGATTTTGCATCTTGATGTTTTCCCAACAAATGAAGGGACCTACAGTTTCTACTAAGCTGCCGCCAACCGGCTGATGGTTTTTTTACAAGAAGCCTTTATATCATGTGCGAAATGCCCGCCCTCATTCCCTGCCGAGGGGCGACCGAAATTAGCTGCCAGCGGATCTCCTAAATACAACAATACCATATCAAATGAGACTTTAAAATGTAGAAGCAATCTGAACAAACTCTCTACTAAATACAACACTGCTGATGGCTGAATGAGATCATCTGTAACCAGGAGCAGCATCAAATCAACTCAACTAGAGGAGTAAGTAGCATTCTTCCGACAGAAGGTTTTCGTTTCTATGTTGCATTCTTTGCACCGTATTTATGGCATGGTATCCCGACCAGCTGGGTGGAATACACTCACGTCAACGGGTCGGTCAAGTGTAATGGATTAGCCATTTAAGCCATGCCATGATACCGAAATCATCTTTTCTAAAACATTGCTCCCTTCATTAGGAAGAAAAGAAACATACTTTCTGAAGAGCTTTTTGCCACCTGATGGTGCTAGTGATGAATTGATACGTTACCAAAATATGAACTCCGTCATCGACGCACAATGGGGTGCTGAAAACACGCGCATTTCTTATTTTTGTATGCTATTCTATGTTATTAATGATACTTTCTTTAAATTTAAAAATTTGATGTAAACTTTTTTATGGTAACTTAAATTTTGTGGATTTTTTTAATAAAGAAGAACATTTCCCTTGAAAAACTATGTAAAGATGATTACGAATTTATTTTATTGCCATGTAAACGAATAAGTAAAGCTTAGCGACTTCTGTTATTGTACAGTTTTTACTTTAATAAGAAGTAATAGAAGAAGATCTAGCAATATTTATACCAGTTGTCCGTCTGCCTGTCTTTCCGTCTATTTGAACATAAACTATGCCGGTAGTTTTTAAGATATTTTAACCAAATTTGGTAGACAGAGTATATTTATATGATTATACATATTTATAACCGCCTTTTAAATTTTAAAAACAAAATCTTAAAAACAAGCACTTATTATTTGTTTTGCTTCATCAACAAATGTATAACTTCAATAAATAATAATAAAATTAATACCGCTTATATAATTGGGTCTGACATTTAAAAGTCATTACAAATATTGGTATGATAATTATTCCTTTCATAAATTTATTGCAATAGGGCGACCCAATCAAGGCCCACCAAGCTAATTTGCTTACTTTATAAACTCGAAATTGCATTTGCGACCGTAAAATAAATGTTTATAATTGAGGTCGCCCCCCAACGTGAATGTTAAGTCCTCTAAATGTATTTTGACATGAAATAAAACAGCTCCTCAAAACAATCCATAAGTAATAATCTGTAGGTCCATCCATTTGTTGGAAAAACATCAAAACGCAGCCACAAATGGAGGAGGAACTCGGCCAAAAATCGCTTCATCAGTTTCAAAGTGCCAATTATATATAATTGCAATTAGTTCAAGGCTTACTAAGAAATGAATTTTTAGCTGGTTTAAATACTGGCGCACGTTTCGTGTTTGTATCACTGTCAAACATCTCCATTTTGGTCCATAATTTAACCATGAATCGTCTTACAAACGAAGAACTTTTGCAAATTATTGAGTTTTATTATCAAAATGTTAAAAAAGTGTTTGGTGCCTAAATAATATGCAGACTTGTCGTTTTTGGAGTGAAGATCAGCCAGAAGCATTGCAAGAGCTATCCATGCATCCAGAAAAAGCCACAGTTTGGTGCGGTTTATTGGCTGGTTTCTTCATTGGACCGAACTTCTTCAAAGATGATGAGAATCGTAACGTAACTGTGAATAATACTGAGCGCTACCGTGAGTTGATATCAAACTTTTTTTTTGCCCAAAATGCAAGAGCTTGACTTGCATGATATGTAGTTTCAAGTTGTAGTTTGAGAAGCGAGTTCGGTAAACATTTTATTTCACGTTGGGGACCTGTCAATTGGCCGCCTAGATAGTGCGATTTAACGCCTTTAGATGATTTTTGTGGGGCTAAGTTAAATCTAATGCCTAAACAGACAAGTCCGCTTCAATTGATACATTAGAGGAAAACATTACTCGTGAGATGCCGGCCGAAATGTTGGAAAGAGTATGCCAAAATTGGTCTAAGCGGATGGACAATTTAAAGCCCAGTCATGGTCAACATTTGCATTAAATAATCTTCATCTCTCTGAATTGTATGTGTTTTTTTTTTTTTATTTTCCTATAGCTCTTAAAAAATCAAACTTTATCTAGATGGCGCGTGCGAATAATAGACACAATTAGTCGAAAAATATATGTTCTATAGACATTTTTGTATAGACATTAATTACAAAATGTTCATACACAAACAATTCTACCCAACATTGCCCAATTTTGAGTGCTGTTACTTCTAGAATGCTTTGTTCAATTTTATCGCTATAAAGTTTTTCTGCATTTTAGGTATGAAAACTGAACAAAAAATGCCTTGCCTGTCACTTTATGTTTTGCTTTAATGCATGTTTCGGATCGGTGTTGGGGCCGCCAAATCCGTTTTGATGTCGCTAGTGAAGGTTGATTTCAATTTAAGTAGGTACTAAAGTTTTTTGAATGCTTAGAACTTCACGCAATTTCAACTAGCCTTTAAATGCCTTTCCCTATTTATAATAAATAGTTCCTACTGGAAACTAATAACAGTAATACCACTATAACACGGGCTTTGGACTGGCTATAGTAGAACTATTATGTATATTTATCTAAGAATTGGTAAAGGCTTAGCAACTAATTTTTTAAAGGAACAGGTGATAAGGTCGTGATGTGAAAAGAACACCAGATAAAATAGTAGAAAAACTATAATGAGTAGCTATTCTCCCCACATGCGGGTTAAGGGTTCAAGAATTTATCCGCGGTAAGATATGCCTGTCGTAAAAGGCGACTAAAATTCAATAGTTCTACTCGAGGATAGCAGCAGGTACCTATAAATATTAACAATAAAACACTTCATTCATTGTTGGTTTCTTCTCATTTCGTTTTTTAGTAGAGCAAAGGCAATATGTGTAAAATTTCAAACACATTTGTTGTATGCCTTATTTTTAGTTATTTTACTTCAACTAATATTACTTTCACATTTCTAATAAAATTTCGTAATTAAGCTAAAAATTCCATGCTACGCCACTGGCTTAATGTTAAAAATAGCTCTCATTATGTTGCGTTAATCTTAGATTAAAATCAAATTTCATACTCAATGATAGCTGAGATGGGCTAGAGCTTCCAGTACCAAATAGTTATTTGATTGGTTAGGACGTCGAATCTCGGAAGTTGCCGCGCACGACGAAGAATATCAGATTTTTTTTTTGAAATTAACACTAAAATTTAGATTTCTTTAATTAGTCTGCATTTCATAATGCGTATGTCTGATTTCTGATTTCTAGCGTTTAACATTTTTGTTTTCGATTTGGATTTGTTTTTCCTTTTTTGTCTATTTTGTCTAAAGTATGTCACTTTTACGCGCTTTAGCTGTCAATTCGCTCTTATCATTCGCTTTTCTGTTTTGCTACGTCTGTTGTGTACATTTTGAAAAATATTGGACCACAACAACAACCACCGTTAAACCGTGGCACATACGTGAACCAGGCCTGTCACTGCCACTGCCCAATAGTCATCCATCGAAATGTTTACGTGAAGTGCCGTGAGTACGCAGAAGTTCAGCAGATGAAGAAAGAATAATAATTACTTCTCTGATTTTTTCCATGGCCCAACAGCGCAGTGTTCTTTCAGTTCGAGAAGGATGTGCAAGTCGTCGGCAACAGCACAAACAGTATTTACTTCAATGTCATCGAGGTCTGCTGTAAGGGTTACAAGCGTTATGATTTCGACTGGAATCGCTGTGTGCCGGATTGTGGCAACAAGTGTCAGGCGAATGGATTTTGTTTGGACGGCGGTGTGTGCAAGTGTTTCGACGAATTCGTACTAAATCATCGCAATGTCTGCATACCGACGTGTCCGCTGGGCTGTCCGCACGGGCAATGTTACTTGAATGGCACGTGCATATGCCGCGATGGTTATGAGCTAGATCCGACGCGCAAATTCTGTATGCCACGCTGTGAGTTCAGTTGTGCACACAATGAGATCTGTGTGGAGCCAAATAAATGCGAATGCCGCGAGGGCTATACCCGAGCACTGCCGCCCAGCACGATGGGCTGTCAACCAGTCTGTATACCGGATTGCGGGTTCGGGCGTTGTGTGGCGCCGAATGAGTGCGAATGTTTTCATGGCTACCAGAAGCGATTGAATGGTAGCGCGTGCGAGAGTAATTGTTATATGTAAGCAAAAAAGTTTGAAATATGATTGACTCAGAGTCCATGTTAACAGAGTCATTTTGAAAAGTAGCACAAATGTCACGGAGCCCCGTTGCTCTGATGAGTTAATTATATTTTTTTTTATACATTTAATACAAATACAGTCTTGAGCTCATTAAGGATGCGCTGAGTCTTGTCATAATTAAATTTATTATCTTGAAGATTTATTCTTTTCAAACACTATTTAGGCGCTGCGAAAATGGTTTCTGCGTTAACCGCACCACTTGCCTCTGCCAGAATGGCTATCGTTTCGATCTGAATACGAGCTCTTGCCTGCCCGTTTGTGACGAAGATTGCGAAAATGGTATTTGTCTCTCGCCGGGAGTATGTCGTTGTTTTAACGGTTATGTACGACGTGGGCCGAAGTGTGAGGGTATCTGCGACGAGTAAGTAAAACGAAATTAAAAATTGTAATTTTTAATTAAATTAAACAAGACTATGATTTTCAATTTTTCTCTCCACCCAGTGGCTGTGGCTATTATGGCAAATGCATCGCACCAAATGCTTGCGGCTGTTCGATTATTGAGGGTCCTGTACGAACTTACCAACGTTGTGCTCATGGCAATTGCAACTCCAAAGGCCGTTGTCGCTGCAAAGAGGGTTTCGTTCGCTTCATCGATCAGTGCATGGAACCAGACAAGGTGACTACATATGCATCGATGCAGCCGAGCCGTTTGAATCAGACACTACTGCAAGAATTCAATATGTTGGTCGGCAGGCATTTTATGTTTCATTATCAAATACCAACGTTCTACTAAAACTAATAGTAAAATACTTGGCATTTAAGAGCTCACGTAGGCGAAATTATATTAGTTAATTCATTTATTTACTGTTTTTTTTATTCGGGAATTGAAGAAATTGTAAACGAACTCAGATCATATTTACCCGCAAAAGAAGCATTAAAGGCATAAGCCACATTTCTGTTAGGGCACCTCACTCACACCAATACACGACACGGAAACATTTGATTAATATGAAATTTATACTTCCAAGTCACTGAGGGAATATTATTTCGGACACAAGGGTTCAAAAGGGATGAGCAGCGAACATCATGACGCTGTGTGCCTGTCGTCTAATCATTTTCACTGATATCCAGCACCCTCCCGAAATATATAAAGATATCTCAATGCACCTTACATTTGCTCTTAAATTGGCGGCCTCGCAACCAAACTCAGATAAATATCGGTAGTCACTTCCACTTTTAACATTTTCTGGTTTCAAGGGGAAAATAAATGAAATATTTTGTAGTAGTCGCCAAGATCAGTATAAATCATCGAGGTCATCTAAAGGGAGGTCCAGGCACAGAGCTATTCCGACTTGTTCAAGCCAGTAAGAAAGGGTGGTTAGATGAATTGGTTTTAGGAGGCATGCAACGAGGTGGTTATTGTCGTTCACGGACGCATTGCATGCAGGACATAAGTTTGATAGATAAATCCATACCTTAATTGTCTCAGTATTATGCGGGACTCTCGAGACAACTCGAGCTCTTCATCTGCAATAGGTGGAGGTTTGCCTCCGAGAGGCCCCATTCACTGGAAGATAGTTCCGATGAAGAGTGTTTAATGCCTGTCCGTAAGTCGTCTTGCCCAACGGTTCTTGTACGTGGTTATTAAATACTAAATACTACCTTACTGATGAACCCAGAACCTATACTAGCAACACAGCCGATATTGCTTGCACATCATATCATTATGCTGCTTAACTCCTAATGGGAGTGATACTGCGGGGAGCTCCGTGAGACTGTAAAAATTTTGGGGTGGTTACCCAAAGTCGGTAAGGATGATGAAGGCTTGCAGCGCAGCGTTGATCGCTGGTAGCACGAGGCCAAGTAACGCGTGGACCACTCCATATGATTATTTACCGTCATTTGCCGTTATCGTCCGACACTTTACCGACTCTAGCAGCTACGGATTTACATCGGGTAAAGTATACTGTCATCATTTTTTTTGCTGCCGATTTGGACTGTTGTTGGTTTGTGGATCGTACTTATGTACCAATGATTCGTCACCAGTAGCGACTTTACTAAAGTTGCTAGAAAAATGCTAGGAAAAATTGATCAAAATGCACTCGAGCCTCTTTTTGGGCCTTATTTAAAAATCGTTGTACACATATTGATTACTTAATATTCGCAATACGGCCATGTCATTAAAGCCCAATTTATTAGCAATCATTTCTTGTGTCAATCCTGGGTCTTTATCAATTTTGGGCTTCATCAGATTTTGGTCGACCACCTTGGGGTTCGTCCTCTACGGTAGAACTTCCTGTCTGGAATCTTCAGAACCACTTAGAAATAGTATTCAAAGACGTTCCATATGCAATTAGGCATGAATATATGTATTAGCTGTAAATTGCGCGGAAACCTGAAGAGTTTCGTTTTGGCGAATTTTCGTTTGCGCTGGTAGTGGAACTTCGACTGACCTATGCTCAGCTATCTTGCGTTTTCTGGTCTCTATTTTAGCCGGTCGTTTCAAAACTTGAATGGGGACTAAAAGTAATTGTAAAAGACTTGGTATTTTGAGATTTAACAAAACTGAATTTTAAGTCACCAACTGACCGAAGTTTTGTTAATCTCCTCTTATATACTAAAAAGTTCCTTATTGGAAAATCAAACTCATACTCCCATTCAGGTGACTATGAAGAGTGACTTTGTGGCTATTCGTTTGGCATTTCTTATGAGATAAATAAAAAATGGAAGGTTATAACTGATGCCGCAACTACAGCTTTTAAAACATGAACTTATAAGAAATATTGCCTACTTTTAGGCATTAATGAAGAGAGCGTTCAGTATAAGCTTTAATTGAGCGCGATCTACGTAAATTATATACAGTTTTATATGCATACCGCTGTATGCATAAATGCATATGAAACATAATTAAGCAAGATTCGCATGTGTGAGTAGACCGCAAGTGATTAAAAATGATTCCATGCACATACCCCCGACATGCACACATCTATAAATTCATATGCTTCTAATTATAATAATTATCAACCCTGGCACATGAACTGCGATATCACTGAACTCATTTCATAGTTGATTACTTAGCTCTTGTTTGAATATGCCACAAAAGCACACACACTCTCTGATGTCAAAAATATTTTAATATGTAGAGAAATTTTTATCAACATCTGTCTTATCAGCATGTCTTTTAAGCGAGCCCGCAAGCGTAGTGTATTGACTTTCTTTGCGCAAAGAAAAAAATATTGAGAACTATAAATATACATTTGAGCAGACAGTAAAGACAGGAAGCTGGAGAAAAGTGCTTGCAAGAGTAATAATAAACGCATCAGCGTCAGTTGGGAGCAGTAAAGCACGCGTGACGGACTTAATATAATATTTATTGTATAAAAAGTAGATCTGCAGATATTCAAAGTTACTTAAATAAAAAATATGAATCTCATTTTTGTAAAAAATCTCAACACGTACCACACGCTTACTCGGCTCTTCTACTTAATTCTGACAATGGACTTTGTGGCTGGACAATTTTGGAAACTCAATAGCCCAAGTGAGCGGGATATGTTTATATTGGAAACAAAATCGCTGATGGCATCCGGTATTTGCTATAAAGACGTGCTGTAAGTTATTGGATGGTTTTCTTAATTTTTTCAAACGAGACTTCTTTATCAGCCTAAATAATGAAAATCATTAAAAAAAAATTATAAAAAAATTTCTTAAGATATACATATGATATATATATATATACATTGCATTAGGGTAAGCCAAAAGTCGAATACTCGTATATCACATTTATGCCTTAAAATAAACGTACTTACTGAGAAAAAGTGTCCACGGAAGACAGGATTTTTGCTCAACTTTAAAGGGTCGCTAGCATTCAAAATTTAAATTTTAATAGAAATGAGAAAATTATATTCTTCATTGAAATTAACATTACATTTGAACCGCTTCTGGAGAGCATACAATTTCTTAAGAAAGAGTCAACTTATCAAAACCAAGTTCGTTTATTTAATAAAAAATAATCCATTCTGTTTGCAGCAGATGACTTTAGAGATCTGTATTTGAAGTTCTATAAGTGGAAAAGGAATACGATAGATGGGAAATGACATTTTGTACTAAAAAAAAGATAATGGAAGAAGTGTTATTCACGCATGTCAAAGATGAACATCAGTAAAGGTTAGATAAGCCATATTCTAAAATTTTTCTTTGATAAAGGTGAAGCCAGGAAAATCAGAAAAAGGGAATAATGTGTATATTTCTGATACAGTAACAACCAATCTTGCACCATTTTGATTTCGTCGATTTCGTTCCGGTACTTTTGACTTGAAAGATGTACCACATTGTGGAAGAGCAAATTGTCCAAATTATTGATGAAATAAACGAAATCGTTGAGTCTGACTCTCATGCGAGTACTGTTTTGATTCACAGCTCAGCTCCTGGGGTGCTCAGAAACAATTTTGAAATAACTTGTAAATAAGGCTGGATAGACAAAGGAGCTCGTTGTACGGTTTACAAATGAGTTAACAAGAAAAAAACTTCATGGGTCGAATTTCCATCTGCGAATCTTTGCTGAATCGTAACAACAACGAATTATTTTTGAAGCAGATAATAGCTGGTGATAAAAAGTGGGCGATCAAATTCTTAATTCGGACCTATACTGTCAGCAATTGGACCGTCTGAAGAAAGCAATCGCCCAAAAGCGCCCAGCTTCCGCCAATGGAAGGAAAATTATGTTTCATAAAGACAATGGCACACCACATACACCGATAATGGCTCTCCAGAAGCTCCGAGAGCTTGGTTGGGAGGTTCTTATGAGCCGACCTTATAGTCCAGACCACGAGCCATGTGATCTGTTCCTATCTATGGCAAATGATTTGGCTGGTGACGAATTGGCCTCAAGAGAAGCTGGTGAAAAGCAATTTTTCCGATTTTTCGCAAACAGGGAGAAGGGTTTCTAGCGAAACGGTGCAACAATAAACGATTACTTTACTCAAAATTTGCAATGGTTGTCAAATGTGGCATTAGAATAAAAGAAGGTTAAAAGAGCTTCTCGCGCTAAAGTGAAAGAAGATAACAACAATTATGGCTCTCATTGCAGGGTTTCGTGTATTGGGCAGGCATGCGAAAAGACTGGTCACGCCAAACGACTTCTGCTAAAAAGAGAACAGAGAGCTGGAAGCTTTAAGACAGTTTCTTTGCCACACACTTTGTAGGAGTAGGTTAAAGTCTTTAGATATGGGAACCTTTAGAGCATTGAGCGGAATAGCGGGTGCGTCGATTTTTTGGTTTTGCGAACTCCCCGCGTTAGTTTAATCAGCCTCTAGTGTCCTAAGTGAGCTCTTGCTTGTCCTAACCTAATAAACGGTTCACATATCTTCAATATTATTATAATTTTTTCGACAACAAAATTAGCAAAAACTAAATTTTTTATTTCTCTCTCCCGTACAGTGGTACCGCAAGTGAACCGACATTAAAAATGCAAACAATCTCATATTGTTGTCCCGGTTATCGTCGTAATTCTCAATCTTCGGCAATGCATTGTGAGCCGATATGTGCAGAGGATTGTTCGAACGGTATTTGTACGGCACCAGATGTGTGTGAGTGTTATCCTGGGTATACACGTGCAGGAGGTCGATGTGAAGAGCTTTAAACCGAGCAAATGCGACTAATTTTAGGGAAAATAAATAAAAATAAATAAAAGGCAAGAGCGAATACTAGTTAAAATGCATTAACTGTAAACTGCCTATTTTTATATTTAATTTTAATAAAAATAAAAATAAATAATAATAATAACAAACAAACATGCATATTCACTATTGAATTTTCAATTAAACTATAAATGTTTAACTTATGAAATTTACTTTTTTTCTAAACAATTTAGAATGAAAAGAGAACTGAAAAATTAGCAAATGTATGTATTATAGTTAAAATTTTTTTATATAATTTTATAGTGTTGCTTATGTGCACTCATCATTGGAAACATTTCTTTCAGTTAATGAAAATACTATATGATCAGAAGGCTAATTTGTCTCATTGTATATTATATGTATATGTATGTATGTACCTTATAGATTTTACTTACAAAAGAAATTAATACAAATATGTGTATATGTATGCATATGTGAATTTCATGTGAGATAAGAATAAATATGCATACCAGTGACAAAGTCAAGTCTTCCAAACAACAATTTCAAATTGTGGTCAACAGCATTTTGCAGTGTATGTACATACACGTATGTAAATATGTAAACATGTGAGTACAGAGTTGTTAGACCGGTGTTAAAGCTTATTTCAAAAATGACGTTATCAGTACTTCGTAGAAATACAGAAAGATTATGAAAACAAAAAGAGTCAGCACAAAACGCAAACAAAAGTTCAGACAGATTTATTATATGATGAGGCATACATCACCAGTGACTTCATTTAGTGTTGACATTTTATGAAAAAAGTCTTTCATTATATCCAAATGTCTACTTTTTGTTTTATTTCATTTTTACTTGTTTTATTTTATTAAATTTAATTTTATTTTGCTTTCTTTTCTGTTTATTACATTAAATTTTATTTTATTTTATTTGATTATAGTTTCTTTTTATTTTTTTATTTTATTTGATTTTAATTTATATATTTAAGTTAATTTAGTTTCGCTTTATTTTATATCATTTTATTTTACTTTATTTAATTTCACTTAATTTAATTTAAGGTAATGTTATTTTCTTTTATTTAATTTTATTTAATGCAATTTTTTTATTATATTTAAATTAATTTTATTTTAGTTCATTTACTTATTTTATTTTATTTTATTTTTTGTTTATTTTTTTTACTTTTTTTTATTTTAATGTATAAGAATTTTTATAATTTTATTTTAATTTGTTTTATTTTATTTTATTATTTTATTTTATTTTATTTGATTTTACTTTATTTTATTTTACTTTCGTTTATTTTATTTTATTTTTCGTTATTTATTTTATTTTGTTTATTCTATTCAATTTAATTTTATTTTATTTTGTTTTAATTTTGTTAATTTTATTTTATTTTATTTTATTTTCGTTTAAATTATTTTATATCTTTTTATTTTATTTTTCTTTTATTATTTTGTTTTGTTTATTCTATTTTAAATCATTTTATATATTTAATATAATGTAATATTATTTTGTTCTGCTTTATTTTAAATTATTTTATTTTACTTTGTTTTATTTCATTTATTTTTATTTTAATTTCTTTTAAGTTTATTTAAGTGTAATTTATGTTATTTTATTTTATATTATAATTTTTTTGTTGTATTTTATTTTTATTTATATTATTTCATTATTATTTATTTTATTTTGTTTTATTTTATTTTACTATAAATTATTTTATTTTATTTTTACTTATTTGATTCTGTTTTATTGCTTTTATAATTTACTGAGTTTTCAATTTTTGTTACGACAATGAGAAACACATGTATGTATGTATGTTTTTTTGCTGGAAACAAAATAAATAACAAAATTATATTTATTTACTTATGACGTAATAAAATTCTCAATCTTCTCATTTGCCAATCACCTAACGCTTTCATATAAATGTAAATAAATCTTTGATTTAGATTTATTGCAGTACCCAGCTGATTTCTCTATAATTCCCAGCTTAGTTGAAGCGTAGCTTTTGTCGTCGCCGGACGTGTCTTTTAATTCGAGTTAACACTACACATAATTGCAATTATAAATTAAACTTGTATAAAATATAAGTAAAAATCATATTTACAATATTTAAGTAGTGATCTCATCGCAACATCTACTCGATGCATATTGCATACTTCTTAAGCGTACTGCTGCCATTGACAGTGGGCGCACATGCGCAAATTAAAACATCCGGCATTAAGACGCATTACCCCGCCGCACCAAGTTCGGGTAATTTAGTTTACAATGCACACAACGAACATAATTACACGGCTCAATACAATCGCACCTTTATACCGGCGGACACCTATCAGGGTGGCAATGCGGGCGTGGTCAGTGTGAATGTCGTCGATGGCGAAGGGAAAGCGTACCTGGCTAGTGGCAATCATTTGGCTGCCGGAGAGGAATATCATTACTATGGCGCTGGCGGTGTTTACAGTAGCGGTGGAATTGCTAGACAGCGTGCGCCACAAGTGCTAGATCCAGCTGCAGAATTCGTTAACAAAACTCGCTCCCAAATGGCCTCTGGCATTTGTTATACAGAAGTAGCGTGAGTATCATAAACTAGCAAAGCACTGCAAATATCCTTTGTGTGTATGTAAATTGAGTGATATATAAATTGCTAAAAGGACGTTTATTTATATACATAAATGTATGAATTAAAAACATTACTAAAGCCATGATTTCATCTGCAAGCCAGTTAATGTTTTCGAATGGCAATATATATTTACTTTAGGAATATTAGTATTTTTTACGGTGCTTATTATATACGAATATATATTTATACATACAAATTGGGTATTATGTAATAAACATCTGTTCTCACTTTTTATTCTTGGGTACGAATATTACCAAACAGTATTGAACCAACGACCTCACATCCTATTTGTAGTGATAAGAATATTAAAAATAATATAAATAAAAATAAACAAAAACAAAAAAAAAACAAATCAAGCAAAGTTCTTCCATTTTATTGATAATGCACTAGTAGACTAAGCAACTCTTTTTTACGATTTAATTAAATTAGAAAAGATATCGATAAAAATATGATTTCTTGGCTTAAAATGCAGCATCGAATCGGCCCTTCGTTGTCACAAGAGCTTAGTTTATAGTAGAAATTAAATGTTGCGAGGTTTTGTTGAACATTTCATGTGCGGAAAAAAATGAGGCAGAATTAAATAAAGTTGAACTTAAAAATAGCATATGAGAATATCAGATTTTAAAAAATTATTACCGTTTTACACACATTAAATATAAATTAAACAAATATAAATCAAATATATTTACACTTTTTTAAGACACTACACACGTCATTAAAATAGAATCAACAACAGCACGTTCTAACGTTTCTTCTTATATCTGTTCGGCACCACTTGGAAACACCAATTTAAGCCAGGTCCTCCTTTAACTGACATTTTCTATTACTCTGCTTTCGTGAGCGCTGAAAACTCTTTTCCTCTAAATAAAACCGGCTTTGAGCCATTTTCAGCTCGAAGACATAATGAATTTTGAAAACAAAATATCAATGTCTTCGAAAACTTTCTTTTAAATCATGCTATGATGTATGAACCCTACTGATCCAGAGCACGCGGCAGCTGCTATAGAAGTATGGTTACTTAATAATTATGATGCGAGACCTTTATAAAATGCCAGTACCACTAACAAACAAAAAAACGGTATTAAGACCGAGAGTTCAATTGATTTAGCAATTCATAAATAAAAGCAATCCATAAAAAAACGACTGGTGGGGTCGATTTCAAGTAAATCCGCTGCTGTTATCCAAAGCAAATGATTAGCCAATCAATAACTAAGCGACAATTTCAATAATCATTAATAACTTTTATTTATTTTAGCCTTTTTTTTAGGGAAAATATTATATTTTTTGTAAAATGCTTTTAATGATGCCATTGATCGTGTTTTCTTAATATTTTGCGGTGACTAAATATACAATAATTTTATGGCTAATAACAGAATATCTAAACAATAAATTCTCATTGATTCATTCATTGATTTTTAGAATATGAACAAAAGAATGCATTCGTAGACTAAAATTTTATTTGTTCTGATTCTGTTTTTATAAGATATCAAGTATTCTGATCCATTCTGATATCCGGGTAGAAAATTTTAAATTAAATAAAATTTTTTTTCTGTTTGGTTAACGCAATAAATCTTTTAGTTCGCACTTTTCAATCATTAATCTATTTAATCATCATAATAATCATCGAAATATTGCAGAGTTGTGTAAACAGTATTACAAATGTTTCTTAAATAAATATTAAAACTCCGTCTGAGGAGAAGTGATGATGAAGGATTATGCGATTTTGAAGTCATAACAATAGTGTCACACGTTGCTTGTATGTTCCACGTTCGACTTGTCATGGTACAACAAGATTTATATAAAATATTCTCATAATACTCGTTAACGAGCTCTATAAGTTTCTGAAGTAAACCAGACTTATCGTTGGAGTTTTGGTAGACATTTAAACACTCGCTTTCGTTTCGAGGGCAAGTTGTGCAACTGCAAGTGGTTGCCTTTGGGGACTCAACTATGTCGCAGAAGAACTTGTATAATTGGTACAAAGACTTCAAAGAGAGTCGGAAACGTGTTGGTGACTTGGAACGCTCGGGACGACCATCACGTCAACTGATGTGCATCACGTCAATGAAATTAAGGAATTAATGCTCAAAAATCGTCGATTGACTGTTAGAGACCTTACTGATATAGTTGGAATATCAGAAAGATTCGTAAAAACGATTTTGAAAGACCATTCGAAGACAATTCGCAAAATAAGACTAAAACTATGGGCCAACAAGTCTTGGTTTTTCATCACGATAATGCACCGTCGCACACAGCACTCATTCTTCGTGACCGTTTCGCTAAAAAAAAGTCCACGAATATCGTTTTTCAACCACCGTATTCGCCGGACTTAGCACCTTGGTACTTCTGGCTCTTCCAAGAACTCATGAGACCACTTTGATGATACCGTTTTTAGTCGATTGAGGAGATTAAACGTGAATCGGCGCGCTCTCTGAAGGCCATACCAGAACGTGACTGTTTGACATGCTTCAATAATTGGAAAAAGCGTTGGCATAAGTACATTGCATCGACAGGGAACTATTTTGAAGGCGACGAAATCGATGTAGAAGAATGTATAAAAATTTTTCATTTTACAAACAAATTCATCTTACTTCTTGAGCACAGTATAATTGGCGCTTTGCAACCGCTGAAGCGATTTTTTGGCCGAACTCCACCTCTAATTTGTGGTTTTGAGTCTTGATGTTTTTCCAACATATAAAAAGACCAACAGTTTATAGTAAGCCGCCTCCGAACAGCTGATGGTTTTTTATGAGCTCTTATTTTTTGTTAAAAATACACTCGGAGGGGTTGACATTCCCTGCCAAAGGGCTACCGCAATTAGAAAAATTAGCTTAGTTTGATATTTACATTAATTTTCTATAACTTTTTGGATGGTAGTACGACACCAGCATTCGAACCCGAGCTTTCCGAATGGCAGTACGCAAACCTAATTACTCGGCTACCGCGGCCGCCGCATATCAATAATCCTTACATAAATAACTTTATAGTTCTGAAAACTAAGACTAAAAATTCTAACAACTATTCAATTTGGCGTCAATCATTGCCGATCTTTGCATAAGGGGCGAGAACATTGCAAACATATGGGATTGCAACACCCAAGCCATGTGTACACTGTAATTCTGTGTAGTATAGGAGCGCAAATACTGCTTACAGAGTTAGGACACCTTATTCCTTTGTTTCATCTCCCAGAACTCGGCCTTACAACCAGCCGTAACTCCCTTGTTAATTGATTGTACAAAAAAGGGCTTGTAGTTGGCGTAGCACTAGTGAACGGGTTAACGATTTTAAAAAATCTCCTCTGTTCATAATCTTGGGCTAATGCATATTGTAAAGCGTTGCAGGCATTGACATTCATGCCGCTCAATATAGCAATTTAAAGAGCAGCCGCTCGGCATCTGGAGAGTCTCAATAGCTACGAAAGAAAATGATCATTTTATCTTTAAACGCATTCAAAAACAAATGATCCGGTCACTATCGATTTTTTTTTACTTGTTCTATGTATAGTTCTCCGTACAATGACCCGATTTTTGATTTGAACGACCAAAATTTTGGGTAAAATTCGACTATTTTTTTAAACGCTGCCATATTGTCAATTTTTGATTCTTTTTTATCGTAGGTCATTGTACAGACAATATTTATTTGTTTTTAGATTTCATCCAGAATCACTGCAGCAGTGAAGGACCTTTTTTCGCGCCGTTGGAGATCGACTGTAACTTAAAAAACATTTAGTTTTTTTGTTCAAAAATTCACTGTTTCTTGAAACATGTATAAATATATTCTTAAAATTTTGAAATAATTGATAAAGTATTTTTTTTTTTTGATAATCACCTATTTTTAGGCTATTACACTAGGTGTGCCCCTTAACCTTTAACAGGAGGATAGCTAACCGTCAGATAGATCGTTTTCACCAAGTTCTGGTTAGTTTCATCATTGTGAATATTTTAAGCAAATTCACAAAAAATTGCGATGTGAATACAACGCATACGGCGATGTCCTACGAGCTGAAAATGTTCCTACTATGCATTAGCTTCATACCAGTTTAATACTAGTTCATTTAGCTATGTTGAGTTTCTAGTTCACCAAAAAATAAATAAATAAATCGAATAAATTTCGCAGCCGGCAAGCGAGAATCGAACCAAGACGCAACACTGCGAAGAGTCCTTACCACCAGACTATCGTTATGATATATGGAGGAACGAAATCTGCGCACTTCAACAGAACTTTTTAGGAAACGAAACTCAGCCGGATCGAACTGAAAAAAAAACAACAACATACGAATGATGTGGAGGTGAAAATTTCTGTTTCACCAAAAATTAATTAAAATTAAAAAATTCTGATTTTATTAAGTAAACCACGGGGCCTTGTTGTTTGTGCGAATTGAATATTTGTTATACAACAAAGAAAAATGGTAGAAGTGACAGCTGTTTCGGAGATCACCACATCTCCTCATCAGACTTCTTATGGCAGGGGTCGAACCAACGGATCCTGACTTAACAGGCGAGTGTTCTACCACTGCGCCAACATTAGCCATGTAATCTGTTGTTGTATTATTCAATTCATTATTAACCAACAACTATTAAGTGCGCTAATTTAGCCGCTTCTGTTTCAGCAAATATTATATTAAAAAAATAAAACTTAAAAAGTAATTTGCCTTTAGCGGGACTCGCGCTTAACGCGCTACAGTGACCATTCGGCTATCATGATGATGCAAATTTTAATGATAATTTAGGCACTTCAATAGAACAGAGCAGGGAATAGAGTTATGTCGCGGTCTGGCGACATAACAACAACAAGAAGTGGTGGAAATTATTATTTCTCAGGTTACTGGTGGGCTTCTTTACAAATAACGAACTGGTATGATTTCATCTTCAACATACTAGTATTTAACTAGAATTTTTCCATACTAGTTGGGTTTCCTCTTAACGGTAATTATTCAACAGCTAAAATTTAGTAACCGAAGGAATTTTAAAGTTTATTTGCTGGGAGAAGCAAGAACTTTTTTTATGCTATAAAGTGAGAGTTCGAAGGCCCTGGATGAATATTAAAATTGTGACATAATCGACGAAAACGTTCATTCAATTTATAATATGTTTTACATGTCTTTAATAGTTAAGGCCTAAACTGCCTAGATACACGTGTTAAAACATTGAAGTTCACGTCAGAAAAGAGCCGTTAGTCTGCCATACTTGGTGTGGTTCTTATTTTATAATTTTATCTTTCACACGTGTATTACTTAAAGTACAACGACAAATTACAGATCTCAGCACTGAATAACTTTAACTGATTAAGAATGAATATATCGCTACCCCTCGAAGAACTTGTCGATTTTCCTCCACATCTTTTAACACACAGAGTCTAAAACCCCAGCACAAATGCCTGCATCTTGTCGAGTAATAGATTATTTTTTGTTCAATTTCATTGTCCACATCGCTGAAATGGCTACAAGATCCTTGGCGGTTTAGGGTACTTAGCAAAATAAGTTTTACCTGCTTGAAAAGCAAGGACACACATTTTTCTGAGTTATTTCTACTTAATGATTTCCCTCTCTCTGTTTGTTTCACAACTTATTACACACAACAAGTGGCAATACTAACAACACCATTTTTGTTTTCTTCTCTCAATTTCAGAACCTCAACTCTGGTACGGGACAAAACCGTAATTCCGGCTGGTAATGGTACCAGCTCGGACAAGAGCAAAATTCAAATCTGTTGCGAAGGTTATGTACGCAACCCACACGTCTATTCACGCTGTGACCCCGTCTGCCTTGACGACTGCCCAAATGGTATATGCACAGCGCCCAACACCTGCGTCTGCATACCGGGAAACGTGCGGAACCACGAGGATAAATGCATTTCCACTTGCCCCATCGGTTGCGGCAATGGTGTGTGTGATGATCAAAATCAATGTGTATGCAAGAGCGGCTACACCTTGGATCCGGCTACACGACAATTTTGCGTGCCACATTGCGACAAACCCTGTGAGTACGGGAAATGCGTGGCACCTAATAAATGTGACTGTTTCGATGGCTATCGCCTAACGGCCGGCGGAGTATGTGAACCGAAATGTGATAACTGTGAGAACGGACGTTGTACAGCGCCGGGTTTGTGCACTTGCGACAAGGGTTATGCGAAGGTTGATGGTCTTTGCGAGCCAGTATGCACGCTGTGAGTATGAGCTATTGCCTTCTAAGAAATACTTTACTATATATTAACAACTGCAAATATATATTTCCAGTGGCTGCGAGAGGGGCCGTTGTGTTGGACCCGATGTTTGTGCGTGCAGCCAAGGTTTCGAACTGGACCGCACCGGCACCAGATGTGTGCCACATTGCGATCAACCCTGCCTGAATGGCGTATGTGATGGTGCAAATAGCTGTGCTTGTAATCCGGGCTATGTATTGGATCCCGTGCAGAAGAATATCTGCCAGCCGCATTGTGCGCAGGGTTGTCCCAATGGCTATTGTACTTCGCCGAACTTTTGCGTCTGTAAGCCAGGTTATCGCAAATCAGGTATAAAGGGACGTCAAACGTGCATAGCCGTCTAGTGTAAGCTTCGGTCGAAACTTGTTTGTAATAAAATGTCAAAAAGAAAACGAATTTATATGTATATTTTTAATAAAATAAAACAACAACAACATTTATATATTTGCCTTAGTGCTTAAACTGAAAATGCCGTCCAATGAGTGCACGGAACTCTCGTCTTAATTGCAGATTAAGATGCTCTACTTGCTCATAGTCAGTCTCCAGCTCTGTCAATTTTTGCACTTCGATGCAGCGATCAATAAAATGCGATCTTCCGATTGGACAAATGCAGCGGCCGCTTTGATCGCAAATACCACCACGGCAAATGAGTTGAGTTTGTTTGCAGCCACATGCACCGGGCTCCAAACATTTACCATTGTGGCCGCAATCCCTGTGAATGAAGGAATGAATTTGTTAAAATTGCAATATAAGAGAGGAATTCAGGTTATTGAAAAAGTCACCTTTTGCATAAAACATTCAGCTCTAAACGAGACCTAAATGCCTAGAAAAATACCTAAATGTCTTGTGAGAGATAGTATTTCTTCGAAGTATTCACTTTAAAGTGGTATTAATGCATGGTAACTCTGCTCTGAATTTTTTCGAAATAATAGTTCCTAGGCAAGTACTAATCAGAAGCCTTGCCCAGCCAAAATATGCTTAGAGTTGAAAGGATGTCTTTTAGTGTCCATATCAGTCACGTCCTACCTTACTGTGACGATCGCTTTTCGACCCAGCGCAACTCTCAGACAATAAAATCTTTTCAAACTGGATTCTTTCCTATACTTCCTACTGCTGCCCGGTAATTTAACCAAGAGCTGTGTTTTGCTGATTTATTCTAAATCTCTATCCTTTATCCATATTAAAGAGTGCTCATTAATTTCGTCACTCTATTTTTAATCAACCTAGATTTCTTTCTGGATATTAGGTAAGCTTATATCACACTATGTTATAAGTTGTTGGCTCTTTCCTAACCATTAGAAAGTGGCTTCAAATAAGAATGAATCCCAGCGGTAAGACTCCCATATACTATTAGTTACACCCATACCAACCTCTCACATATTGGCTCGCAATTTAGCTCTCTATATTCATATCCTTCGAAACATTTACACACCCCAGGTGCAATGCAAATGCCATTGCCGCAACTATCGCCACAATCTGGTAAGCAACTGGTCGTGTCCACATCATACTTATAACCATCTCGGCACTGACAATTATTGCGTGATTCACAAAAGCCATTTTCACAGCTTCTAAAGGGAGGAGCATAAAAGTTATACACAATCTAATTTTGCATCAAATCTACTCACACGTAACAGTCAGCTTCACAGACCTTTCGCATTGGTCGCTTGTGGTAACCCTGGAAGCACTCGCATCTATTCGGGCCCACACATTTGCCATGTCCACAGTCGGGTGTGCACACTGGTTGACAACCCATCTCCGGCGTCATCTTGTAACCCTCTACACAAACACATATGCCCGGTGTCACGCATATCTGGTGTGTACCACAGTTACGTGGACATTTGGCGCGACAAAATTTTCGTGTCTCCGCATCCAGTATATAACCAGGATCACACTGACAAGTTCCATTCAAATAGCAACGGCCGTGTTCGCATGCAATCGGGCAGGTATGTACACATTCGCCACGTTCATTTCGCACAAATTCCGCAAAGCAATCGCATTCATTGGGTGCACGACAAAAACCGTTGCGGCAATTACTCGGCGAAACGGTCGAACAGTCGGGTACGCATTGATCGGGATCATGACGCGAGCGTACGTAACCCTCGCAACAAACTTCGATACGTTGCCAGTGAACGGTAGAGCCATTACCATGTATTGGAACCCCGGGTGTGGTCTGGAAATAGCGTGCGCTGCGCGTTGGGAAAATAATTAATTTCGGACTGTGTAATAGTGAGTTTTGAGCTTCATTACTTACGGCACTTCACGCAGACACTTATTACCGCGTTCGCTGGGATCACTGTAACGCAAAGAGAAGCTACCGATCTCATAGTATATATCGCCAAATAATTGTTCCGTATTCTTGGCGTCTTGACAGCTGGCGCTCTCCAGGGCAGCAGCGAGTAAAATAGCCCAAGTTAGCAACATTGCTTCAGAGAATCAGTAAAAGATTTCTTGTAAAAAAATTTAAATTTCTTAATGCTCCAAAACAAGAAATAGAAAAGTATGTTTCTATGTGTATGCTTTGTTTATTTTGATGCGCACTGATTTATCTGTCAAAAATTATTGAACCGATTTGTTATACAAACAATATTCTAATATTCTCTGTGTGCTTGCGAATGATTACCAAACAGATCGCTTATCACCAAATGGAAACCGAAAAAATATATTTTATACTGAACGTACATTAAAGAGTCACTAAATACCGGGTAACACGTGAGTATTAATATTTTTTGAAAAGTAAAAAAGAATCGAGTTAGAATCATTGAAAATGAATACTGTGGGCTTAAGTAGTCTTAAAAATAAAGTCTGTCGCTTGGGACAATCTCAGGCATTCAAACCATATCCATCAGTTACAAATCTTTACTATGAACAACTCTCAGACTCCTTTGAGTTTAGCTCATTTGTCAAGGACCATCACGGGCGAAATGATAATTAAATTAAAAACTTTTGGCACACATAAAGCACCTGGGCTGGATGGTACCATCCCTACACAGATACAGAGCAGCTTGGAGCTGTCCAAGTGACCTGCTTAAAATTTAGGCAGATACCGCTGGGATGGAGACAGGTATCAGTCAACTTCATTCCAAAAGCAGGTAGAGGTAGTCATAGTTGCCCTTAAGACTTCAGGACCATAAGTGTTTCTTTCTTCGGGCTTTAAGCACTGGAGAGGAGCATAGTTAATTATCTTTCTCGAACCCGTTATAATTGAAAGAAATTTCGCTGCATGAATTAGTGACCTTTACTGAAAAAACCTTTCCATAACAAGAGAGGGCTATAAATATGAACCGGAAAGGATTTCAATTATTCAGATATGTAATAGGGTGGAGTTCTCTTCCCCTTGCTCTGGAGCCTCATAGTAAACTCGATATTAACGCAAACGAAATGGGGGTGCAGGTAAAGCCATTGCCACAAACCCTTTGTGACTTTATGTTTCTAGGAGTCATCTTGGACAAGAAGTTAAACTAGAAAGGTAAAATAGTTCAAACATACGAGAAGGCTGCTACTGGTTCACTAAGGAGAACGCCAAATGAGTCTCTAAATGTAATACTCAATATCTTGCCACTAGACTTGGTGGTATAACAATCGACCACTCAGCTATAGGGCCAGTTATAAAAACAAAGATATCCTCATTTTCAGCGCTAGTCAGACAGCGAGCAAATTACTGAGCTCACTTACACTAAATTCCGAATTATTGCTAGACTGTTGCCGATTTCTATATGAGATGATCAAACAGAGCGGACTGTCTCTCAAGTGGGTCCAGGAGCACAGATACATCGAGGAAAACTGTAAGGTGAATGACCTTGCTAGGCGAGGTACCACCAAGCCTTTTGACACCAGCAAACTGCTTCGCAAGAAATTTACATATGAACTACCCGCGCCAAGGTAAAATGATATTACAACCTGCCGCAAATTTTAAATCTTAAGTCCCAGACCTGGCCGAAATTGAATAAGAAGTGATCAACAAATATGTACTGACTCTGTCACTCTCTGATAGGACGACACGCGGAAAGAGTAGAGGCTCCCTATTGATGATTCTACAAGGATTCGCAAGGATTATGCGCCTGTCCTACTTTGAGTAGGGCTAGGTTTTGGAATTTCGGGACCCTATTGCTGGATGGTCTATCTTGGATAGCCTACGTCAAAGTCATCGATCCGATGAGGTTCATTAAAAAATCATATGGTTGGATAGGGAAGCCTAAGTGAATTCGATATGGTTAATCGATAGTCATCACAGATTAACCAAACCCTTTGTTCACATAAGTTCAAAACACTGAGGCGAACCATGAGCACAGCTAAATCCAAAGTCATATTTCCATTCAACCACCTCCTAACTTCATATTAAATATTAAAGCCTTAGGTTAGTTGACATATTGCTAGATTAATTCTATCTTACTATAATCAACGATATGTAAAAAGCAAATGAGAAATTTATGCTTTGATTTAGTTTTAGTTTAATAATATTTTGTTCTGCTTAAATTTTCAGTTTAGTTAAGGGCATTGCTGATTTATCTTCAAGTTAGCGACGCAAAGGCGTTATGAACAATGAACAAAAACATCTTCAAACATTTTTATTGTTATAAATTCTCAGCGGCTTTACAACAAGCAAAATCAGCCTATATATTATGTTTGATAAGGCTTTTATCTTTTTATATATATATTTATTTTTTACCAAACGCCACAGTTCGTTATCGAAAAGATTTTTTTTTCATAAGTGAAAATATTGTATAATTTATTCAAAGTCACAACCCTGAATTCAAGAAAAAATACTTATTTTTTATAGAAATTATATAAAAATATTAGATATAGTCGAAGTTATGTGCATCAGGGCGGTGGAGAATTGTTTTTTAAATATTTTTTGATAGACTAACACGAAGTGGATTTCATTCCCAAAAATAAGGACATAAAATATTGATTTCCACATTTTTTAATTTGATGAACGCTTTAGAAAACTGGAAATGGGTATAAAAATAGAAGGATTTGTGTAGCTCAGAAACAACAGAGAGAATTTTAAGATCACGTTGTATTTAATCTTAGTTAGTTACTTAGTTCAACAGTTTGACTAAGTAGAGATAGTGTTTCACCAAATGCTCCTCATCTTTGTGCTTACAACTGCGGCAAAAGTCGTTTGAGTAGCAGGCAATCCTTCTGCCAGGACTTCCAATAAGACAGTTCCCAGTTTATTGCTATTGACCGTTTGTGACATATATAAAACAGAGTATTCACAATTATTCCAAAAGCTTTCGTTTAGAGCTTTTGAAGCACTTCCGCACCGTAGGTTTCGGCGGAGGCTCAATTGTATTATGTATGGCTTTTATAATTGAAGGTGGATGAGTGTATTTCGCTTTTCAATGAGTATTTTGTAAAAGCACGAGTTTTGCAATTAAGTTTAGTGTCGATTTCCGTGGCCGATTATTTTGCCTCCTTTCATTGAGAGATAGCTACGTTTTTAATTTTAACGGAGATACTGGTTTGAAGTTTAGTGAAAACGTAACCTGGACAGATTTCGCATCATTTGGCTTAATACGCCGATAATATTTCAAATGCGGCGTTATTTTTTAGACAGTTTTGTAACTAGTTTAGGCAGGACCAGACTGTGCGATAACCGCAGTATCATTCCAATCTGAGCATTCGTAGAGTTCAGACTACTTTATTTTTGAGATAGAATAGGATTAAAATTAAATTACTGTAAGTAAGTAGACTTGAGTTGTTATATCGCTTTCCTAATATCATGTTTTCAATTTTATTTGTAATAAACATTATTTTTAAATCACGACCACGCTTTGATTTCCATTCTGATGCCAGATTGTCTTAGAATTGACCTCTTTAGCTGTTTTGTTGCTACTCAAAGAGAATAGTCATTGGCAGCTGTAGTCGTCCGGCTACTGAGCTAGCGATCATTCTCTTTGCAAAAGTTCTTTAAGTTCCCTCATTGAAGGATTTAACCCCATTTTCGCCACCGAGTTGTCGAGCTTTGTGTTTTGAAATTACTGTATGGCGGCCGCAAATAACAGAGTGGTTAGCATTGCTTACTTAGATTCGGAAGGTTAGGGTTCGAGTACAGGTATGACCAACTTACAAAAATTATAGAAATTTAGTTGAAATAAAATAATAAATAAAAAAAATTCAATTAAAAAAATAAAGTTAATTAAGAAACCAAAAAAAAAATTTAGTTAATTTTTCTAATTTTGAATGTCAGTCTCTCCAAGTATATTTCTGAGATGAAATAAAAAGGTCCTCATAAAAATCCACCTTTGTGTTTTGCCCATCTGCTGTCTTATTAAGACACCTTGCAGTGTGAAGGAATGCAAATTCTAAATTATATTTATAAAATTATTTGTTAATATCACGCGCCCTTAATGTGCATATAACATATATAGATATGTATGCATGTACAAGAATATGTAAGATAAATAATTTATAAGAAAGTAGGCCTTACTGCTGATTAAATTCTCAAGAACAAAAATTCTTATACATTTATATACAATATGTTTATGTACATATATACAATGTGCATATATATATATTGAAATTGCATATACTTGTATGTACAATATTACAAATCCATAATTGAACTGAATTTTAAGGCAAATGCAAGCAACGCTAAATGCTTTGCTTTCATATTCACTTTTTCTTTCCCTGCTTATACAAATTCTCTCTTTCGCTCTTCATATTGCCTCGTGTGCCTTTTTTTACTTTATACTGCAGCGCTTCATTATGTGTAGGTCCGTCTTGTGTTTCCCTTAAGCAAAAATTCTCAAGCACCTTACTGCAGAATTCTTTAAGTATCCCGCTAAATTCTACGGATACATAAAGTAAATTACAGTAGATGTCTTTTTGAGAATGAAAAATTCCGCTGGTATCGAATATTCGATTTACGGATTCAGAACCTGGAACCTGTATAATAAAAGTGTTAGAGGTCATACAATCGAGCTTGGGTCCAGTACAATTTGTTATGTTTGCTACCATCAAACGCTGCTTTTACGACTTTTTATCCGCAAGACGATGCAAACAAGTAAAAGCTTTGGTAAAGCAATCTAGTGTGTTTATATGAGCTTAGGCACCTCCTCTTGAAGGGGGTGAATTTATTTCTCTCAAACTCAAACCCCACAGTTTGACTGAAGGAAACCCCTGCATTTCCAATAAAAGGTATTATTTTCATATTAAACGATGGCGTGTAGAGAGAAATATTTGCCATTAATAATGGTGAACAGTAGCAGTCAAATGGCTGTCACGGCTACGCTTACAGGACCGTATCCTTTTTTATGAAATTTTCCAACACCAAATCGCAAAGTAAATAGCTGCTGTATGCCCTCAGTAGTTTCACGAATTATCTTTGAGGTCTTAAATCATCGTTGGCCTTTTGGGGTAGACCTTATCTTTCACATGCCCCCCCCCCCCAAAAGGAGGAGTCGCAAAGAGTCACTAGATCTCCGTGACCAGTTGAGAAATATCACGATCCGGAAAATTTTCCCTTAAAAGATCGATGGCTTCGTTGCTTGTGTGGTACGTAGCTCCGTCTTCTTCAAAGTAAACGTTGTCCAAATCAATACCTTCCAGTTCCGATAGCGCAAGCCATTGACCATTCAAAGACTTCTCAACAAAAATTTTGGTGGAAATGACCATCATCAGGCAAGATGATTTTTCGATGAAGTTTTATAGTGAATTTTAATCATTTCAGTGCGTTGTTGAAGCGTGTACCTTTCCGTTTTGTATTACTGGCATAGTTTAAAAGTGACATCTACCGGAAAGCAGGCTGTTCATAATAATTCCTCGTATTGGAAAATCCTTTATTATTGGTATTTTTAATTCATCCTCCGTGACGCAACATCCCTAAATGGGTCGAAGCTTATCCATGTCACCGGCATTCGATGTGATAGATGGACGACATGTCCCTGTATCCTTGACGTGAGAACACTGTGTGGACAGAACATCGACTCAGACCACTATCTTGTGGTGCAAACAACAATGCCCGTCAACAATCACCGAGAAAGTTTGACGTCGAAAAGCAGCAATCGCAACAGACAGATTGCACTTCATGCTCTCTGAGAACGCTCATGTGCAACTCAGACAAAACTTTTAGCTTCTTACCTATAGCTTCAAACGCAACAACTAATTTTCGGGAAGGTCAAAAGGACTGCTGTTGCGATGATGAATACCACGCCGTAATTTTATTGGTGGTGAAAACTGGATGCCTGAACTGAAAGTGGTACGCATTTGAAGACAAAAAAAGGAAGAAGCAATACTCGTGAATATGTTGAACTTGAGAAGCTGGTCGACAAGAGTTTAAAATTATACGTAAAGATACGGTGACTTACGGAAGGTTTCAATACCGGAGCAGGCATAGAGATGTTATCTGGGTGACTGATGCTCAGCGTATACTGAATTTATGGAGGGAACACATCTTAAGTCTGCTGAATGGCAATGAAAGTGCAACACCCGGAGATAACGAGTCCGATTCCCAAATCGATGACGAGGGAACAAATGTTACATTTCCCAACTATGAAGAAATTCAAATAGTACTCGCCCGAGAGCCAATGGATTACCGTCCGAGCTATTCAAATACGGTGGTGAAGAACAGATAAGGTGCATGCATTATCTCCGGTACCAGTAAACTGACTGACTGACCAAAAGCTCAGTCGGTTTAGGGAAGGACTTTTTTGAGCCGTTCGAGATGAAACAAGCTTTCCGACGAAGTGGACCCCAATCTTGGGACTTCTTCAATTTATTGGTGGAGAATAAATACGAGCTGCAGAGCTGAATAGAGACGGCACAATATTCTATTAGAGTGTAAAACTGCTAGCGTTTGGCAATGAAATTGATTTCATTGGCTCCAACAATGCAATGAGCTCTACTTTGTCCAGACTCGATAAAGCAACGAAGGGAATGGGTCTGGTAGTGAACGAGGACAAGACGAAATAACTTGTGCCTTCAAGTAAACAGTCATCGCATTCGCGACTTGGCTCCCACGTCACGTCACTGTTCACAGTCAATCAGTCGAGGCCATAGCTAATTTCGTCTAGCTAGCAACCAGCTTCAACACATATCATCATTCTTGCCAACAGATGCTACTTTGGACTGAGTAGGCAATTTAAACGTAAAGTCTCTCGACGATCGAGGACCATTATAGCCGTCCTACCTTTTGACGCAGAAGCGTGGGCGATGTCGGCAACTGGTGAGCCGTCCTTCGAGAGAAAAGTTTTGCTCACGATTTATGGTACTAAGCATAGGCAACGATGATTACCGTTGGCGATGAAAGGACGAGCTGTAAAACGACATAAAATGTGCTATGACGAAGAAAGGTTGAGCCTCCTTACTCTATAGCATCGCTAGGCTTTCTATTGGGAATGCATAATTTCGGCGTCCAACCTCTATTGTGTTGTCAGGAAAACAAGTGCTGCAATACGATCTCAGTGGGCCCATTATGTAGACTTCCCCTGTAACTCCGCCAAGTGAAGCAGAAATTCAGTAAAGCACTTTTATTTCATTTATTTTTATTATTTATAACAAAATACAAAATGAAGGCGATTTAATATATTTTACATAAACAAAAAAATAAATAAAATGAAATGATTTACCATAATGATGATGAAGTAAAAGTATATTTGGTGCGTTCATAATACGTTTAAAATACAATTGTATGTATAAAAAGTTTTCCATTGAAAATATTTCTGGACCTATATTAGCGCCACCTTACGTGTAACACTGCTGTTGGTGGCGTTGACATTGGTGTTGACGGCTGTGGATGGCACTTGCAAGAAATTACTATTCTGCGGTGTTATAATCAAATGTGTTATGTGGTGTTGCTGTTGACGGTGGTGCGGTGTAGAAGTGGCAGAGACCAGAGGCTGCTGCCCAATGAAAGCAGATAGTTCGGTGTGTTGCAGTGGCTTTTGGGTTGTGTGTGGGTGTTGTGTTAGATTTGGTTGGGCGAGAGAGTGTGTGTTTATAATATGTTGGTGTTGTTGTTGTTGTTGTTGTTGTTTTTGAAAGTTATGGAATTGTTGCTGGCCATGCTGCTGTTGCCTTTGTTTAGTATTGAAAATATGTTGGCTTTGTTGCTGTTGTTGTTGTTGTAGCTGTTGCTGCTGCTGATGCTGCTGCTGATGCTGATATGCTGAGGGATAGCGAATCTCGTCGTACAAATGAGAATCGGGACTACTCTTACGCGATTTCGGTGAAACAATCGAATACAGAGAGAGCTTCCGTGCATAGTCATAGGCGGTCGTATTGACCGAAGAATTATTACTCGGCGCATCATATAATTCGGGTCCTGCTGAAATATGAAAATGATAGTAAGGCGATTAGTCAGCCGGTAGATAATTCCCCCCAGAACCAGGACACTTACATACCCTCGATTTTGTTGCGCACCATTTGCGTAAATGCCGGCAAATCTGGCAGCGGCTTCAGGAAACTCTTACCCCCCACACCAGTCATGGCCTGTGCATCCAACGTATTACTCGCACCACCAACGCCAAGCTCTGTGGATGCCGTACCACCGAAACTGGCATTCCGCGCAGCCAAAGCCGCTTCCACGCGTTGCTTTTGCCAATGATAGCGTCTATAAATGTAGAGCCAACTCATACCGATCGCAATCACTATGATCAGCAGTATAACAAGTAGTGTGCTCAGTAAATTCGCATCATGCTCAGCAGCTGAGGGTGTTGCTGTGGGTGCGTAGGTCTGCGTGGGCAACTCTGCGATACCACCAATGCCAGCCAAACTCAATTTGGCATCATGCGCGGCACCAATTAGCGTACCATTGGCGTGCGCAGACCAGTCGCCACCTGCCACGGGAGCTGTGATGACGTGTATAACTTCAGGAGTTTTGCCGCCAGCAGCATGTAGGTCGCCCAGAAAGCCACCGGCAACACCAGGTTGATGTACAATAATTTTTGGTGTCTGCTGATCTTCTTGTTTGATAACAATCACTTCCGGCGCGCCGGTGAGATGTGGCGGCACAATGGTGCTAGTGGCTATGGTTACAATTTTCTTGGCTATGCGATCTAGTTTGTGCGTTATATTGGCAATTGTGGAGTTTAGTGTTTGTATCATGGCATGAGTGGCATTAGGTAGGACAGCAATAGCAGTATTGCCGATACAAGCGCCTGTTTGCGGGTGGCAGCGTTTGTCGGCGCAGGCGCATTCCTTGTGACACATGACGCCGTACGAGCCGACGGGGCAAGGTAGTTCACAGCTGTAAAATATTACATTTTTAATTTTATTTACATACACATATGCCGGGCATATTATAAACGTGTGAACCTACAATTCTCCCGTCCAACCGGTGGTGCAATGGCAGATACCAGATTTATTATCGCACACTGCGCCATTTTGACATTTACACTTTTGCTTGCACTCGTCACCCCAGTGATCATGGTCGCATCCTTCATGTGGATTCAGGGAAAATTAAAATAAAAAATTGGAATTTGAAATTAACAAATGGAAAAAATTGCTTAATATTATAAAATAAAAACAATATATAATATGCGAATAAAACAAAAAAAAGGAAATAAATGATAGAAATTAATGGAAAAAAATATATTATTAAACAATTAAACTAAAACAATAATTACAAAAAAATTAAGTGAATAAAAAAAAAATAAAACCCATTCACCAATTAAAAGAAATGGAATGGAATGGAATTAAACTAAATTAATTCAAACAAAATAAAAAATATATAATAAAAAAGATAAAAAATAAATAAATAAATAAATGTCAATAAAAATTAAAATTTAAAAAGAAGAAAATAAGTTATATAATATAAACAAATAAAATCAAAAATTAAATTTAAATTAATTAATATATAAAATTAATATAAAGTAAAACATTTTAAAATGTAATAAAAAATTGAAATAAAACAAATTAAAATTAAATAAAATAAATAAATTATAATAAAATAAAATAATATAAAATGAATTGAAATCATTTGAAAGAAAATAAAATAAAACAAATGAAATTAAAATAAAATAAATTAAATAAATAAATCATAATAAAATAAAACTTAATAAAATAAAACAAATCAAAATAAAATAAAATAAAAATTATGTTATAATTAATTTAACTTATTGTATTAAATTCACCTTTATATTATATTGATAATTGTCTTTATTTTTATTTATGTTATCCGTTTTTATTTAGTTTTTTTAGTATTGTTTTAGTTAAATTGAGAAGGATAGAAATTTAAAATAAAATAGAGTAATACAACATAAATTTAAATATAAATTAAAACGAAATTAAAAATTAAAAATAAAATAAAAAATAAATCAAAAAAGTTTATAAAAATAAAAACGAAAAAATCAAATGTAATGAACCAAAAAAGGATATTAAAATAAGACTTATTAATTAATTAAATTAAAAGATTAAAAAAGTAAAATAAAAAAAATTAAATAAATGAAATAAAGTTTTATACAATGAAATAATAAAAAACTAATAAAAAGAATAAAATGTATCAGAATAGAGTAGGATGAGATGATATGAAAAGGTAAAATGTACGAGTGATAAAACGAAGTGAAATGTAATTAAGCAAATTAAAACAATGTCAAATAAAATAATAAAAAATGTAAAACAAAGTAAAGTGAAATAAAATTATTAAAAAATATATAACGAAATAAAAATAAATCAAATTTAATTTTGCAGAGATATCGCCACCACTCACTTTGCGTACAGTGTGTTCCCGTATAGCCCGCCTCACAACTGCAAACATCCGGTGTCTGACAATAGCCGCGACCACAACCGCCGCGGCAGACTGGTTTGCATATTGTATCGTTGATGGAGATGTTGCCCTCATACCCAGCACAGCAAAATCGTATTGTGCGCGTTTTCGTGACATTCTGTAATGAAGAAAATGTATGTTACATTCCAAGTGCCTAAAAGTATGCAAAGTATCGGTTTGTTGTGATTAAAGCAATACAGTCAACTACAGTACCAAAGGCACAGTTTATGGAATAATTTAGAAAAAATTACATTTGTAGGTTGGTACTATATATTAAAATGGCTTATGTAGTTATTCTTACAGTTTTAGTTTGTGGACATGAGCTACACATATATTTGAATTATTTTCAATAAAGACAAGTTCGCGTTAATAATATATGTTCAAATAAGTACTGACTTCAACAACCCAAAAGAAAAACCGCAAATTAAAAATTAAAATTTAAAAATACAACTGTGATGTACGGGGTTCGCCTTTTATATTTTGAGATTAGAGAATAAAAATATTTAGTAACTGTCGAAAAGCACTTTATTGTGTTTTAAAATTATTCTCCATTACACTTTTGCATGCGTTTGTACCAATTTTCGACACACTTTTGCCACCATAAATGAGGTATCTCCAAAATATGCGTTCTGAACGCATCAACCGCCTCTTTAGGTGTCGAATAACATTGACCACACAGGAATAAAAGGAAGTAATTTGGTGTCTATCTCAGCATTATACATGGATTAAATGCATTATATATGGATTACTCAACAAATCGATGTTTTGCGTGCTCCAAAATATACATGTTTTAGTCGATGGGTGAAAGCTTGAATTCTCGTTATGAAAACTGATTTTCTTCTGCGGCTGGTTTTCCTGGTTTCTTGAAAGGCAACTGGCTAACAAATTATTGTATACAATTCAGAATTTACTGTTCTGCGTTGTTCTATTGGTACGGTTACGGCATGACCAGAGCATTTGCTTGAAAGTTTGTCTTGCGCGAACAATTTTTGTTGGATTCGGACCATTTTAAGCACCCATACAGCCGACTGTTGTTATCTTTTGGTTGCATATGCGTAAATTCACGATTAATCACCTGTTGCGATATCATAGCTGTGTTTCGAAGTACCGCTATTGTATTTTTTTTTTAAATTTCCTCGACAAATCGGCGCGCTCCCTTTTTTTGAGCGATTGACAAATTAATTGAACAAATTTTTTATTGTCAAATATTCATGCAATAATGATTTCCATATATAGTTATTTACGCGTCAATAGTCTCTGGAATAACAACTGGTTTTCGACGACCCTACCAAATCCGTTTTAGGGTGATCTACGACCTCGATTGGTCAAATTGAGCCATCTGGTCTTTGATTAAGCTTCACCGCCAGTTATATTAAGTTCATCGATGCACTGTTGCTGAGTTAATCTACATCGAAAATTTAAAATAATAATTGAACGAAAATGTTTGCGATCTAAATCCATTTTTCGGCCGAGATGAGTATATTAAGAGTTAAGTATATAAAGTAAGTATATAAAAGCCAAGTTGTCAGTAGCCAGTATGTAACACTGGAGTTGCCAAATCCCAAAATATGAAAGGTAACCCACATATGAGTAGTCAACTACTGTGAAATTGCTGTACACAATGTAGTACTTATGTAAATACACGTATGTATGAATATATGGATGTACCAAGCGTTTGTCCAGTCATGTCATTCATATGTCTGTATTGAAATTTCCTGCTTTTATTAATTCAATACAATCAACGCCACTCTCTCAACTAAAAAGTACCACCACTAATTTACCACACCCCCTACACAGCCGCATCACTACTTGCAAATTGCTGAAGTTGGAGCACCACGGTTCACCGTTACTCGTTGTCACCCGCTGTTCGTGGGTACTCAATTAAAGTCGCGACGTCACTGCCAACCCCACCCGCTGTGGAGAGTTTTGCCAGTCGCGCATCTCAACATTCTTCGTTAAATTGCAAGTGAATTTGACTTTTCTCATTTTACTTTTGTTCACTAATTTTTATTGTTGTTACATTTGGCGACGCGCAGCCAGACCATGTGACGACACTGCCTTTTCGTTGAAATATGCATGTATGGATGTATATTTTTGTTGTTGCTTTGAGCTGCACCAGTCGCTTAGTTTAGTAATTCGTTGATGCGAACTACTTAAAATGTTGTGCATTTTTTTTTAATTTTGATTTATTTGTTGTGGGTGTCTGTGACCTTTTTAGGAATGTATGCAATGACCAAATAAATTATGAATAACATTTCATATAATTACATATGTATGTATGTACAGCCATGATCATGCAAATAGCACAACTTTCCTTCCGATACATAATAATGAAACAAAGGGATATCTGTGCTTAAAATATGAAAATATTGTAACGATGCGTTCACTCAGTTATTATTTAACACAACCTTTATAGGATTTAACCTTGACCTCTTTAACGATGAAATGTGGTTTTCTCATCTGGCTACATTCTATTTATTTTAGTTTCATCGGTCCATAATACATTTTTCTAAAAACTTAGCGCCCGGTTCTCAGGCGTCTTACCAAACTTTAACCGTTTTTTTTATATGTCATTTTGACAGAAGTGGTTTTTTGCGTGTAATGTGTCAAAAGATCTGGGCCTTATTTAAACGCCTTCCGACATGGCTTCTTGATATAGTCAAATCGAATTCTTCGTTCATTTTCAGTAGTTCTTGTCTAGACAATTTAGAAAGATCTAGCTTCTTCTCTCGTATTTTGACTCTGTCTTCAAAAATTGTTGTCTTGCGCGGATAATCTTCACTCTCTTGAACCTGTTTAAAGGTATTGTGTATATTTTACGGGAATAATAGAAGATAACTGCAAAATCTGAAACACTTTTCCCTGTCTTAGCCATGTTATAAAGAATGTTTTTTTTTTGTTTTTTGTGCTTACCGCAACCCATTGTAGTTCAATCTGCGTAAATTTTGATAGAATTAAAATTTGAATGTATTTAACTTCCACTAAAAATAAATACAAAGATACTTTCAAGATCCAACCAATGTATTTGCGTGACCACCACAAACTAACAGCTCGATCAGATAAATCGATGAAAACAATACGGTTGCTAAGGTAACGGGAATGTAAAATACACACTGTTAACTAAATAGCATAATTAACTATTATAAATTTTTTTATTCAGTAATATACCGTTTTTTCGTCAGAATAGTTGCATTTTCTCGTCTGATACACCTTGTGCTATTTGCGTGGCCATGGCTGTATATGAGTACGAGTTAATATCTCTTCAGAGGTTATGTTATATATATACATTCTTATGTGCTCATTTACTTTGTGTTGCGATTACCATTTCTGAATTCAAATTTAAGTATTGGTTAATAAAACATACAGCTGTTGACAACCAAAGGGTGATTTTTTAATAGTTATAGGAAAGTTTAAAAAACACATAAAATTCTTTATTTGAATCGATAGTATGGTCCATGTAATTTAATGTTTCATACAAACGCTGACCGTGACTGCGCCTCAAATCGTCTATTCGCTTAGTCCAATTATGGCATACTGTTTCCAAGATTACTGTCGGTATCTTACAAATAAATTTAGTCCCATAAAAACTAGTCTAAAAACTAATCTTCTCTCCAAAATGGACAATTCTGCTTATTTACGCACCCATTAAGCCGAAACTGAGATTCGAAGCGCGCCCAGAAGAAACAAAACATTTTGATTATAAAATTCAATAATTTGGAAGCGTTGTTCGTTTGTGAGACGATGTTTGACAGTGATACAAAACACGAAACGTGCGTTAGCTGTTAAAACCAGTGCTGCCAACTAAGTAATAGCTTAAAAACTCACCCTTTATAACTAATTTTTGGTAAGTATTTATCTGAAATTTATTATTTAAAATCAACTAAAATTAGTATCTCAAGATTTTTAATGGGAAATCAGCAGCTGTACACCGGCATAACGCAGCTCTATTTTTGACCTTTGACCAATAGACCACAGGATAGCAGAGATCTCGCGAAGAGATCCAAAAAAAAAGAGTTCCTCGGACGCTTTCACGCTGAAATTCAGAATAAAATCTCTGTTCAAATACCGAAGAGAATAATTGCTCGCCGTTTAGTCGAAGCTGGACTTTATGTAAGAGCAGCACGAAAGAAAGCGCTTCTGACCAAAATCCAGAGAAAACGACATGTAGACTTTATCCATTCTCATCTGTCTTGGAACGAAAATCAGTGGAAGTATTTCTTTTGCAGCTATGAACCAAAAATAATCGAGTTATTCCTGATAGTCGGAAGTTAGTTCGACGCCGCATTAACCAAGAATTTAATTTTCGTTTTATTATATTTCGCGCCTAGTGTAGCATAGTGAAGCATCAATCATGTTAAGGGAATGTTTTTCCTGTAACGGTGTTGGTCCACTATATAGGATAAATGGAATTTTATATCAGGAGAAATACGTCGTCATGTTGCTTTGGGCTGCGGAGAATTTGCCTGTTATACATATGGAAAATTCAATAGGATAAGGACCAAAATTACACCACAAAATTGACGAAAATAACAACAATATTTTAGAATGGCCAGACTTGAACCCTCTGGGGTGACGTTTAAAGAGTCGTTAGTGCTATAAATAACCTAAAAATGGATGTCCTCTTTGTAGAAGTGACAATGGCATGGCAAGCAATATCAGTGGTGCACTGTCGAAATCTTATAACATCAATTCGAAATCGCTGTTGATCGGCAGTGTTGAAGCGGAAAAGTTATGCAACCAAATACTAACTGAAGGTAAACATATTATCTTAAATATTATTATTTTATCTTATAAAATGTTTACCGTTCTAATTCGGTGTGGCATTCAATTCATGAATTTTGAGTAAAAAGATAAACTAGTATGCAGAAACTCTAGTTAGTTACTATTGTATAAGCAGGCGATAGTACTGTAAGCAAAGATTTAATGTGAAAAACCTCTGGGTAGTTCGGAAAACACTGCGCTGGCAAATAGTGAACGGCGCGCATGATAAGGCGGGACATCTGGGTTTAGAAAAAACGATCGTAATTAGTGACCATTTGTGGTTTGCTCGAAAACGTAACTACGTAAAATGTTCTATAAAATCTGGCATTGATTGTACGTATAATAAGATATCCGGTGGTAAGGTAGAAGGCGAGCTAAATGTAGATGACGTCCAACCAATACCTTTCCGAACCGCACACGTAGATCCGCTAGGTCCATTTTCGAAGACCTCGAAGCGCAACGAAAACATTCTTGTTATCATTTATGCTTTCACTCAATTTGTGATTATGTGAGCGATAAAAAGTACAGCAACAAAACAATCCAAAGAATTTGAGCGTTATTGCAAGGAGAACGACACTCGACACGTTTTCAACGCAGTACGTTCCCCTAGTGCAAACGGTTAAGTTCAACGATGCAATCGAACCATTCTTTATATGTTACTGCCTACAGTAAACAACGGCAAACGATGGGATGAAGCATTGCGTGCAATACATATATGATCGATATGTACACATATTATAGTACAAGATATACCTGTGTCCCAGCGTTCTCAAAGATACAACTCTTCAGTCTACTGCAGCGACAAAATGAAACCATCCTGCCCTCTTCCACAGATTTTCGATGACGACGAAGAAAAGAGTGACGACGACAATGCTAACAACTCATCGATTACGGATCGAGGTCGATCTGTAGCCCGACCAGTTAAATTGATTCCGGCATTCTGAAAGGTCTAACCGCTTTTAATTAAATTGTTAGGTATGTTTTCAGAAAGATTTAATAATGCTTACGAAAAACTTCTTGGACAAGAAGTTGACTAGGGACCAACTTATTTGAAATAAAGCACATATGGTTCAATTTACTTAAAATTTTGTGATCTACTTCTACTTTTTTTTACAAAACGAGAAACTGGTATGAATTTGTCCGCATAATACTAGTTCATGTACCAGAGCTATTGCTATCCAGTGCAGATATTACCAGAAAAATACTAGTTTAATTCGAGTCTATTACAAACTAGTATATTTTTGTATCATAATATTTGTCTAATTCTGGCTTACAACAAAGTAGTTTGCTTTCGTCTTCACAATACCAATATTTGATTAGATTTTTTGCATACTAGTCTACCCTTTCGCTGCAGGAAAA